AGAGTAGATCAGACAACTGAACGAAAATTCTTAGTGCGTTTTAGTCAAAAAATGAAATTTAGACGTCCTAGACAAAGGATGTAAACGGAATGGACAGTTTGTCCATTGAAATCTTGACCTGGACAGAGTATTAATAATACGGCTTATGTCTTAGTATAAATTTAAGAATCAGATCACTCTGTCAATTACTAATTAGCAACGTTTAAAACCAGAATGCACTGTTTACGGTTGTAAGTCACAAAGGCTTATTAACTGCTTTATGTAGCTACGTTTAGCCAGGCGACTGTCAGCCTTTGTTGTCTTTGAACTCTGGTTTCTCAGAAAAAGTTACAGCGCAATACAAACTACTATATGGTAGCAAATAAAAAACAACGCCAGAGGAATATTCCATTTCTATACTTTTTTCATTTAAATGAAATCAAAAAATTCGTATTGTTGCACAAAGTGACTCAATTATCACAGTCAGTGTCTTAGCATTCACATCATGCGTAATAAGCAAGAAAATTTGTATGCTAATAGAAGAGACACAAATTTAACTTTCTGATTGAATGTGTTAGCGATAAATGCTACCATTTTGCTTTTATGGACTGTCAGCCTGTTACTTTCTTTTCCTTCTTCGTCTTTTAGTTTGTTTGTTTTCCTTACCTGCTTTTCACTGGATCACTGGTTTTTATGTACAAAATAAGTGATAAAAAAGAGAATTCTACTCAAATAGTTTATTTGTTCAACAATCAAACCTCTTTTTTTGAACAAGTTATTGAAATTTAGGACAGCCTTTAAAGATGATACTCCCCGCTGTTACCCTTATCTACATTAATCTCATACCAACCGCAAGTCCGATGCAAAATGTTCCAGCTGAAAACACTTTTTGTAAAAGGCTGCTAGACTTTTATGAGAGCCAGGATCAGAATTGCTGAAATATATCTTTGTACGTAGGATGGTTCCACTTAAAATCCGGTTCTTGCTGAAATGCGTGTCTCTAGCTCAAAATATTCTTGCAAAACTCATGAAAACGTAATATACCGTGCACTCGTTATGTGGCTACCAAGTGGTGGCGTACGAAGGTTTGTTGCTGAGGCGCAAACGATCAGAACATATAAGTGTCACAGCAGGCCCTTGACGAAAGTTGACTTTTAGGCATCCCTAAGTGGATTTTAGATGCGGAAAAACATCGAAATATTGATAGACTTGATTTTCCACCATTGTCACATATACTACTACTGAAGAAATATCAAGGAAATGCCGGATCTCCTAGAAAGTCTTCTGATGCCGCAGTCAGGTTTAGTAAAGAAGTCCATTTAATGCCATCCACAGTCCCCCGGAAGAATAAATAAACGGAAGCTTCTCATTTTTAAGCCATAACTACAGACATGTACGTAAAAGCAGGAAGGGCGCGGTAAAGATATCAAGCTTTGTAGGTTGTTTTCTGGTTGCAAGAGAGTTTTGTTGCAGCAATTACATAATCGCGTCCTATTTATTCTCCTTCATGAAGAGAAGGAGGTTTCATAATACATGCATAGTAATGACTTGAAGAAACTATTTTTTAGAAGAAAAAACCATCATGCTATGGCAACCGTAGAAAACGCATTGGCTGATTGCCAACAAAAGGAGGTATTCTAACAACTGTACACGAACAGCGGTTTGTAGATTGTGCAATGTCCGCAAATGATATTTTATTTTACGTCTTCTGATATGTTTTCTATAAAATATGTCGCAGCATAACTAATGGAAATGTAATTATATGAGAACAAATAGATTGCGACTTCCGATTTTAAGGCGGAAAGTGACAAGAACAAAGTGAAAGACCATTCGGGTTAATGGTTTAAACTGAAGGAAATATTCTTAGACAGACGGAAAACTTGCTTTTGCAACGACACATGGCACGAAAATTGGCCGTCTTTTTTAATCTATAGAAGCTTACTGTCCATCATGTCTCACTTAAAATGCCCCACTTTAACATCAAACAAAATTAAAATTACGGGGTTTGGCACTGCATGCACAAATTTGGGTCCTGTTTGCAGTTGATAAATTATCTGGTACACTCATCCTTTCGTAGGCTTTGACTACATGAAGGTGCAGAAAGCAACATCAAAGATCATGATTTTGGATCTTATTAGATTCTCAATTATAGGATATTCACACTTAACGTTTCTGATACAGGGTCAGCCTTGCGTTCTAATAAATGAAGGAAAAATTGGCACTTCCATTTTGTTCTGGTTCTCAGGGGAACCGCAAAAGTCATTATGGGAAGATGGAGGCTACTTCCGTGCATTTGAGCAAAGTCTGTCTGAATATTAATGTTTCAGCAAAAAACCGCTTTGCCTCCATTACCCTTTCAGTTAACAGCGAGGGAAATTAAGACAGTGTTCCCTTTCCCTTTGAGGTAGAGGGATAATAACATGCCCATAATCCATAAAACTTACTGCAGTTGCTAGGACACCAAGTACTCACGAAAGCTCCCGTCCCTTTGCTTACAGCCCAGAAATAAACTAGCTGGACACAAAAATACGCGCATTTTTTGAGCGTCTCATCGTTTCCAAAAAGACTCAGGAGGACTTCTGATTTACATCGGTTAGATAATCAAACCAAAATCTGGGCACGATGTTAAATTGCGTGCTGCATGGTTGCATCAAACACTTAAGCAGGTTTACTTAGTTAGTTGAAAATGTGTAGTCATAGTGACATTGGGATTTTGGGACTGTCTCTTATATTAGCTCCTCGGAGGTAAAATACAGTTCTTGCTGATGGGCGGTAACGCTGTGTTTGAAAGTAACCCATGTGAAAGCGGGGCCTTGCCCGCTAGCATCATTCGAAAAGTTGGGGAAAATTTGAATAATTCTCCATCCGTAAGCAGACACTGCCGGTCATAAATTTTCGACAGGTAAGTTATTTAATGGAGGTTTACTTGAGATAGAGAGGGGTGATGCGCTGCATTGGAAGTTAATGTCATTTGCTGTTTATATTAAAGATTCTATGTAAGGACTACTGCTTAATTCTGAACAAAGTCTTTTTCAGACTTAAATACAAAATCATTCAAGTCGGCTCAGGACAAATGCATTTTTTACAATGCTTATCGAAAAGACAGAATTAGTACTGCAGTTCATTGAGTTACCAATTCGCATCCCTTGCCACAGTTAATTAATGGAACAAACGTTTTTTTCATTTCCGATTGTTTACAGTTCCTGTAGTGGTCTCGACATGGTATGTAAAATCTGGAGCATTTCCGAAACTACTTGCCTAGGTACACTGTCCTAGTTCAGCTAATTCTCTGATGAATTCCTAAATGTTCGCATATGATGGATCAAAATGGCCAACAGAAACTGCAAACATACGGAAATGGAAGCATTGTAGAAGGTCGTTAAAATGACATGAGTAATTAGATATCAGGTTAGCCAAACCTGAGATTTGGTAGGGATAACTGACGACGTCTAATAAGTCAAAAATGATCAAATCTTCCCCCATCATCTTCCTCGGTATTCTTTTTTGTGTACCTCTAGTATTTTGATTAGTCTGTTAAAATGGTTCGCTTAAACGTTTAGTTTGCAGTTATAGTAAAAAACGGCTGAACTACTAATTTTTCCACGAAAATAACTAAAACTAGACTAACTTGCATTAGGATGTAAACATATTAGGACGTCTTGTCATCTCACTGACACTTCTTGTATGCAGAGGGGTCAATGCCAGCGCCTACGTATTCAAACAATAAAATAACGTACCCGTAAACGCAAGCAGTGGTACTGTTCACATGTTTTTAAAAACCAACACTTTATACTACTTTTAACACGAGCAAAATAGCTTAGCAAATAAGTAATGAACTTTTTTGATGAAGACTTTTGGTTAACGTTTGATAGATGACGGCCCTGGATTAATTCTTAACACTGTACATAATTTCCAAAAGTAAAAAGAGGTTACTCGAATGCTCCAGTGCACTTTTCGTACTAAATCTTAAACCTAGCCATATCCAGGAGCTACACAACAATTGAGTGGCTAAACAGTTTTGCAAACACTTTCAAAAACGATGATCATACTTTCGTTTATTGCCATAAATGTCTTCATTTGGCCGTAAGGAAGAAAAGACAAACTCGTTTAAAATAGGCGCCCAAATTAGATGGCACTCATCTCGGGTTATAGACTGAAGAAATCCTTGGTTTGACATTCCTATATCGCAAAAAGTGCATTATAGGACATTATGCGTTTCCTACAGGTTATTGTTTGTTCAGTCAAATTCATGTTCAGTCCAGCTTTGTTTTCATGTCAACCTCCAACTTCATAAATTTCCTGGAGCCGTGTTTGAAATACTTTGAATTTCCCGATAATATTTGTAAGCAAAGAGAGGGCGCTGTTGCGGGGGCTTTTAAATTTACACCGGAAAGTGAAGAATTTAACGCAAGTTTTCAGGGTAGTAGACAACTCTTCCTCTAAACTCAAGTGAACTGTGACGCGGTTTCTGAATTCACACGGACTGTTTGTAAATAAGTTTGCCCTTCTTCAGGAAAATTACGACTGCGAAACTGTTCGTTCGTTGCAACCAATCTCGTTTAAGTAGGTGCTTCCTACTAAAACCTTCATTTGCAATATGAAAGGGAAATTAAATCAAAGGCAGAAGTTCGGGATGGGGTCGAGTATGGTTCGAGGCAGGCCGTATTGCCATAATTTTACTTTTTCCAACTGGGAACATTAATGTGAGAACCAAAGGATCAGACGTCTTTTGATGCACAACCACCTAGCCGCTCACAACCTAAATGAATTCCTTTGTCAGAACATCAATTAAACAATTTTTTCGGCATTTGCTTGCTACTTGAAAGTGTCGGTATTTGTAAAATTTACGAAATGCAAGCAAAGTGTTCCCTTGTTGCAAAAAGCTCCCGCTTGAGCAAATGAGCCGAATTTCCAGTTAAGAGAGTTTTAGTGCCTCCAAAAAAGGAATGTGACGACATTTAATTTTTATTGTTTTGTTTTAGAAGAGGAAATAATTTCGACCTAACTCGCTTCCGCACGCGATGCGGATTCTGCGCAGACACAAATCACTCCGGATTCTGGCGTGCATTGGCCTCTTGACTGTAGTCCTGCATTACTTGTTTTTGTTAAAGAATGCCTCCTCAAACCGACGTGCAGCAACTTTGGGCGACCCCGTCAGCTCCTCAAAGGGATTGGAGCCTCTCATATTCGTCGGCGGATATCCTCGCAGTGGTAAGTTTTGGAGTATACTTGAGTGTCATCATACACATTGGTATACTGCTTTTATTGACTTTGACTACAGTAATCCCAATTCCGAAGTAATGCTCATGTTCAAAACCGAAAATTAGCAACGGTATAGTGAAGAACCCTACTTCACTGTCATTAGACTGCGGATCGTGCCTTATGGGGTTTTATCATGGCATGCATTTGCAGGCTGTTGCAGAAATTACACTACCAACAACGACTATTACCCACGACCTCACATCTTAACTCAAAATCCGTTATTTTGTGAAATTAAATTTTTGTTTATTGTTCAATTACTACTCTCACTACCGTTGTCGATCAACAGCGTAGGATAAGATTTTCACTGTATATTCAGGCAATTTCTGTGTTTTCTTTCATTGTATCAACTCACTGTCTAGCGTTCTGCCCCACGCATAAAACTCCCTTTGCCATAAGTCACGTATGGCACCGACAGTTAAGTAAAGATCTTCTCTATACCATTGCGCGAAAATTGATGACGATTGCCCAAAACTAGGGGAAGTCTGATCAACAGCATTGTACGCTGGTTTTGTCTTAAAAGGGCTGCTGGAAAAATCGAGTTTTGAAGCGCAAACTTAGTTGTGGAATTGCTTTCAACAGAAGAAAAACGTTTTCATGACTCATTACGTAGACATGGCCAAGTGCTGCTTATCAAGAGCAGAAAAATACTTAATAAATATGAGATGGACACGGCCACCGAATTGTCTGATATAGTTAAGAAAAGATATATAAAGCGTTGGGAGTGGGCAAATCGCTCTGGAAAACACTTTTTGACGTATATAGAAAGCCAAAAGCTTTCTTGTGTAGATTGCACATAATGTTCTCGCGATCTAGTGATCAGCGCTTTGATTACATGCAGATCAAACAGAGCCTCCACGTTAATCGCATATTTAAGGCAATTTCGAATGACCCCTTTTCAAAAAGCTTCATTTTCTAACCTGCAATGTACATTCGTCATCGTCTCATGAGTCAACGTATTTATGAGAAATATTTGTTCCGAGCCAAATGCCGTCAGAACGACGACCCTAATTTTATGGTTTTCTCTTCCTGAAAAATCAGTCCGCATCTGTTTGTGCCTGTATGAGTCTAGGGCCGACTGGGTTTATCAGCGAGCTGCATTCCGAGAGCATCACACTACATCTACCGTTGCCGTCTCGACTAGTCATCCATTAATCAAATGCCCACTAGCCACTTTCGGGCATCATCCAGCTTGGTCCTTTCCACCCTACCAATACACTTAGCTGCTCCTACTTGCGTTTCCGTCCATCTTCAACGCTTACTTTCGATCTAATGGGCTCTGGAAGTCGCTAGTCAAGTAAATTGTTCCACCCCTTTGCATCCTGCATGCTTTGTTTCCATGTCCTCTCCTCCTCCTCCTTCTCCGACTCCCGCTCCTACTCCTCCCTCCCTCCCCTCCTTCTAACCACTCCACCTGCCTCATTTTCTCTGATTCAAACATGCAACAAACAGGCCATCTATGCGCGTTGAGCGTAGTCAGGCAACAGTCTGCATCCCGCCGGTACTCGCCTACCTCCCATAAACCCTTGTGTGGTTGCAACTAAACCCTGACAAATGCGTAGACAGTCGGAGGAGAAAGAAACCCACCAGGCAAGCGATTTGAAGGCCGTCATATACATCCGGCAGAATGGACCACTCACCGCTACTTCTGTGCAGCTGCGTTTGTTTAAAGCATTTAGGCTGACATGCGACTCGACTTCTGCAGGTGCGTGTTCCTTGCTTCTCCCGAGCTGCCCGTGAGAGCTTTTTAAAATTGCACGGAGATGGGGTTTTTGAGGGGCGATCATAGGTCGGCATATTGATGCAGGTCAAGTGGAGTCAAAGTAGAAAGTCTCGCCGCACGTTTGACTAGCCCTGAGTCCACATTGTGGCTGATTATACAAGGGTCTTAAACATACCGTTTGAAAGATTAAACTCATCATTTTTTACCGTCTGACTACTACTTAGCAGGCTACGCATTTTTTGTCAAAATATTTACCTTTGTCTGTTAGAGTCACTTTTATTTGGCGGAAGATAATAAGCATTACAGGTGGGATACAGGCATGTCTAGTACTGTAACCGGTTTTGTGAACGCCCCTTTCTGAAGAATAAAACCGGATTCCGGAAGCTTTGCCAATAAAAATACGGTCGTTCAGACACATTAAAAAGTAGTTGTCACCAAGAGCAATACTTAGAAATCAAACTTCAATGGACAGTAAGCATTCCTTTTTCCGCCAGAGTTTGAATTCACGTGCGTGGGATCCCGAAGAACATTGAACATATTCGGTCTTCCCAACATGCACAAAATTCTTGCCCGCCATTATATCTATATAAGTGCATAAGTCACGTTTCCTATCATGACAGACTGTTGAATTTTTTAATATTTCGTGGAGGAAACGTACCTGAGAATTGTGAGCATAGTTTTGCGAACAGTTTCAATTTTATGTAAAATAAAGAAAACTCAATATTCATAAATGTTTTGGCAGTTTTTAAAAAGTCATATTAACTCAGTTGTAAAAAACTCGGTTCCACGGTGGAAATCGAACCCACGACAGTAAGGGAAAAGCTTTGGTACAGCCAGACGCTGCAGTAGGGCAGGCGAGTTACTTGACCCAGATTTGATTAAACTCGCGTCGCCTGGCAGGGTCTCGTAGCTCAGGTGGTTAGAGCGTTGCCTGTACTAAAGCCTCCTCCTTACTGTCGTGGGGCTCGAATCCCGCCGAGGCGCCGAGTTTTCCACAGTCGGGTCAATATGGAGACTCCATATATTATTATGTATCACAAAATAATTGCGCCTGTACATGCACCATTATTAATTAAATATGTCTACCATCTAGCAACTGAGATCCAATATTTTCGGGGATTTTTCTAAACGAAGCCCATTAAAAACACACTGTACCGTTTTAACGCAGCTTACTGGTGCCTTCTAATGTAAAAAACCTCGCTTGCTGTAGAAGACATTTGCAAAAGTTGTAAAGTTACACTCAAAATGGCTTGGATGAGGTAAAGAGTATTTAGGGTCGTATTTATTATGCCCGTCATTTCGGCTAATTAAAAGAAGCGTCCACATTTATTCAAAAAAAACAATCTGTAACGAAACCACTGATATTAACCACAGAATACTTTTTGTGCTAAATTTGACTTTCCCATGCAACCAAGTTGAAAGCAAACCTGCAGCAATATATAGGTATCGAGAATGCATAACGGCAAGTGTAGTTTCGACCCAATTCCCTGACTGTGATCTAATCCGGTCAGTTCACTTTTGCCCTTTCGCCTTGGCAAACGTCTTCGCGGCCAATATAGGCAGCCAAACATCCACTTGAGCAAACAAACATAAAATCAGACAGTACTGAGAACAGTGAACTCCCTGAAGTCCGACTGTCCACAAACTGGGTCTTCACATCCCAACCATTCCGAGCAATTTTTATTGTAAAATCTACATGTAAAAGGTACAGAGTCCCGTGTCATAGGTGACACCTTCCCTGGCAATTAAAAATCCCATCATTTTGACGTTAAAAGCATTAACTAGTTAGCCTTGCTGAAATTTGTTTGTACAAAACTTACCCACTTAGATTTGAACTTCGGCAAGCCACTCAATCCTGACATATTATTAGAATTTACTAAACAAACATCCGTTATCGCGTGATTGACTGTTTTTATAGAAAGAACGATAGTATTTATTAATGCCGCCCCTTGTCCCGAGAATTCCGATTCAGTCTGCCTTCATTTGGCGTCCAGCAATTGGAGCAAGCTGGTTCTCGCAAACGTGCGTTTTCAGTAAGCAGGTGTGGGCACGTTCTGGTTACCTTCCATGAAGCCGACGCGCGTATTCAGGTGCCCATGCCTAGGAGTGACAGGATACTAATTGCTTTTCACCTTAACTGGTGACAATTTCTCACTCTGTCTGTCAAACAGTCATAGCAACCAAAGCAAAACAGACGAAAATAAACAGACCGGCTCACTTAATTCCAATGTTGTCTATTAGGGCACCGACTTTGGTTGACATGACTGGCTGAAAGATAGATTAAATTTTAGAGTACTTCTTGCCCATTCTAGTCTGTCTTAAATGGCATTAGCTTTCGGAAAACTCCTATCTGCTACCCAACCCGCTAATCTACCTGTAAAAGGAAGGCGAACCTCCAGAGAACCGAAGTACTAACAACTAGACTGAAAGCAACAGGACCCATTCAAGAATCTCTTTGAGTAATGCAATGAGGTCCACTTCTACAAGGATATTACTATCCGAACGCGGCACTGAACAATTGGTCGACCGGCTTTTCAGGGTTTGGGGAGTCTTAAGCCTGAGTCCTGACCATATGCAACCAAAAAATTGTTAATTAAATTGTTTTTGCGCACGTTAAAGACCTGCTGATATCTTTGAAATAGGTATTTTGAAGTTACCGCATACAATTTTGCTAAAATTTACTAAATCAGATAGTTGAGCGAGAAATATCGACGTGCTGCCTTTGCTTTATCTACAATTTCATCATTACATACTAACCGACTGGGACACAATTCATTTAGTTGATTTGATGACAAGCTGTCGCAGAGGAATTACCAACATTCTTGACAAAAGCTGCAGAACCCACAACTATCCTGACCGTTCAATGTTTATAGGCAAACGAGGCTGAAAGTTACGTTTGGTTTATCATAAGACAAAATTCATCATGAACGCTGTGGCAAAAATAAATTGGCAACGGTATGGAGAAGGACCCCACTTAACTGTTAGTAGACTGTGGATCGTGCCATACGTGATTTATGATAGAGGGAATTTTACTGGTGGGGCAGCACGCTCACAGTAAGCTGACAAAATGAAAGAAAACACAGAAATTGCCTGGATTTTAGCCAAAAGTCTTATCTTAAATGAGAGTAGTAATTAAACAATGAACAAAAAGCAAATTTCACAAAATAACGAATTTTGAGTTCAGATGTGAGGTCGTGGGGAGTAACCGTTGTTAGTAGTGTAATTTCTGCATCAGTCTGCAAATGTATGCTAAGATAAAACCCCTTATGACACGATCCACAGTCTGTCGACAGTTAAGTAGGGTCCTTTTCTAGACCGTTGCCAATAAATTCAAACAAGTTTTTTTGCAAACAACCACACAGAAGTAAAAAAACAGAGCTTGGAATTGGGCTCAGCGAAGAGGAGCCAGACTGATTTCTCACCGCCTTGCCTAACTATGCCGTCGATATGCTCTATCCATTTAATGTTACGCTGTTTTTACCAGTCCTGCCTAGTATTCTAATATAGACCAGGCAAGCAGACACCAAGAAGGGGGTTAGTAGGTTACCAGAGGTGTGTTTTTTAAGTTGACCCAAATATGCACGCGGCATCCAAAGCCATGAACTGAAAATCACCCAGAGTTCCAAAACAGTGGACCTGTAAGAACAGGAAAAGAAGGTGACATATTGCTAGTTGGCCTAAACGTCGGTGATGAAAGCATGCAAGGGGCATCGTTCTAATCAGAACCAGTGTCTTTGGGAAACAATTTTTTAACCGAAGGAGAAAGAAATCATCCCAACAGCTACACTAAGGGCAGTTATCTTGTTATTCCCCTTTTTAGTCAGAGAGAAAACTGACTTTCACCACGGAAGCGACAGTAAGCATGTTTAATGTCACGCCTTCTCAGAGGGAGGGTGCGTTGTGTAAGCGGCTAGCGTCCGGAGTTGGTCAGTTTAGCTCCTAGTTATCCCAGTGCTTACTTTTCCCCTCTGGCGTCGGGAGGCCAACGCCCCAAGTAAGTAAACAGATTTTCGCACGAGAGCTTTTTTAGCATTTACTCATATTCCTCGACGTAGGTTTAGGAAAATCATGATGTGCTGACTGGGGGTTTTCCCCTGAGAGATATATTTCAGTACCTTATACCAAACCACAGCAGAGTCCTTCCCATTATGAGTTTAGAACTGAAGAGTTGACATTGGGCGGTCTATAACCTCCTACTTTCTGCATACTCTCCAAACCTTCACCACCTTTCAGGCAAGGCATTGGAAAGGATGTTATGTGAGTCAATATCTTCTGGTTGTCAAAGGGATCCGTTAATTGAAATAATCACTGTGCCCTTTGGACCACGATAACTGCTTGGAGGAGACGCAGTCTGCTACTCACGAGTTTTATGACCGGGTGTTTTACGGGCAGAGGACAGTAGACGGCAAATATTCTGACGTGCCGTGGCCGATTTGTAAATCTCGAAAACCTGTCAGCCAGAGGGAGAGGCAGGCAAAGGCAAGCCATTGCCTGCTAAAAGCTTTTACCCGATGCGGTCGAAAAGTGTGATGAAGGGTTTTGCCGGGTCGATAAGCAGGAACTCACATTTACCTAACTGCTAGGGCATTTTGAGTTAATTCACATCAAAAATTTCAGAATTAAGTGAAAGGTTCCGAATTTGTCTTCGCTGACGGCTACAGATGATTGGATTGCAAAGAGGGCGACCAAAATGTTACTGCTATAAGCAAAAGTAACAAACATGACTAGACTCTGGAAAGCTTTTCAAAGCAGACATTGATCATCGTTAAAATTCCTGAAACTTGTGCATGTCAAGATTCACTGTCGATGAAATCTACGGTGTCCGGATCGAACATCAATCTTCTGTGTTTTATCAACAGGCAGACATTCTCCAACCGCAAATCAGTAAACTCCAGTCCATGAATTTGGATGTTTGTAATTTTAGCCCATATAGCCGTAGTCCAGTGACCGCGATCGTTCTATAATGAGGACTATAAGACAAAAAATCGAAGTAGCCATTTAAATGACCCTCACGTTGCTTGGCGACACCAGTTGGGCATATGTCGCTTTCGTAAAAGCTCGGGAGGTGCCGAAGTAAATCTTTCGACAGGCCCTTAAATGGAGCAGCCTACTTGATTATCCCTTCCCAGCCGACCGTTAGAAAAATTATCTCAACTGTATTCCTTTATAATTACATCCTGGCCTCTAAATGAGAAGTTCTTCGTCCATATGCTTAAAGCATACTCAGGGTCTTAATGATTGTGAGCGTCTCCTATGCCAGGATCAACAAACCCTGGCCCTCGCAGCCTGGTGTGCGCTGGAATTTTAATGGCACGTGGTTCCTTGCCGGTAGATGCGCTTGAGCGCCCGCTAGGTGTACAGGTCGTGAGCATGGTTAGCCAGTCATCCTCGTCGTCTTTCTGACCCGCTGTGGGGGTATTGTTGTTGGTTAAAATCTTCTTCCAGTGTAAGTTGTAGATTAGGAAGTGTGGTGATACACCTGGGTGCGGTTACGACCGTGTCAATGATCGTTGTATAATGAGAATTAGACTATAAAAGTTTGAAGTAGCCGGTTGAGTGATTCTCATATTGTTGGGCGCTTAATTAAATATTTTGGCAACCCTTTCAGTAGAACAGCTTACTTGGTTGGGATCTCCAAGCCGATCGTTAGAAAACAGTATCTCTATTGAATTTCTTCAAATTGCTTCCTGACCTCTGAGCGAGAATGTTTTAATCCATATAACTAGATCATGTTAGGGAAAACAATAAACTTACGCCACACACTGCCAATATTAATTTGCAATTCCTGTATATATATTTAGTCATTTTGTTTATATCAAGATGTGCAAAAACTCGGCGAATTAACTTATTTCATAGGAAAAAACGCCAAATGTAATTTTATTCGATCAGTGAAGTAATTGTGGTCTTTGTAAGGCTTCTAATTGTGCCAAAACTCAAGACACTTTGGTTTTCAGGGCGAGCAGCCAAATATTCCTGAGTTTATTGGTACTATTCACAGGGTGTGCAACACTGTACGTATACTTTGGAGTGTTATATGAGCACTGAGAGGTCTGCAAGTAAAAACATATTGGAAAATTTGAGTTGTCTCCAGAGAAACTCTTATAATATTACATGCCAATGAAAACACATGTTGAACTATAAAAGGCGCAACTATTGGTACCCAATTGATGTTGAAATAGTCTTTTTCAAATAAAAATATTGAAAAATGAAGTGTGTTTGCTGTAAAGAGTCCAAAAATGCTCTATAAGTATTATTCATAAATATTTTGAGTCATTTTAAACACATCTTAAAATAAGATTGTTGGCCAGTTAGTTGACCCTCGAATGCCACTGACAACTCAAGAGATTCCCAGTTAAATGTCAGCCTACTGTCGTGCAGGAATAAACTCAATGCTTTGTTCCCGGTAATCGGTCCTGTAACATCAAAAAAAACTTTTGCCTTTTTAAACAAGTTATAAATGTACAACCAGTGTCTTCCGCGCTTTGACTCACACAGCATGAGCGTAGCATTTATAAAGGGTGTACTTCAGGCATTATATACATAGCATGTATCATTCCTGTTCGTTAGTGCCGATTCCGACGACTAGAAAAGTTGCGCTGACTATCTGGCGCCGTTAAAAAGTCCAGACTAGACAGCATCGCTTGGCTGTTGCCTTTGCAGGTCATATCATACGCTTTTTTGATATAGTACGCTGCCTATATTATTCTATGCCAACTTCAAAACATTTACAATTGTATCTTTATTGACGCATTTTTCCAGTTTTTAATCTCGGCACTGAGCTCCAACGTCTTAGTCTGCTTTTCCTTTCACGCGAATCCCATTTCTACCAAGAGGGAAGATTTTAAGATGACTTTAAGCCACTGAATCAAGCACGCCTGTTTTCCGAAAGTTCATAATTACAAAGCTACATCCTAAGTAGACGTTTGGCACATGTTGGGGAGCATTATCGCATTGCCAAAACGGCCTACGTTTTATGATTTTCTAGAAAAGAAAGTTTGTCAAAGCAGTTGTCATGACAACTGGTTTCAGCATACTATGAAGATGAAGAGTTCCACCAAAGAAAGAGTGTGTACTGGATGTTTTAATTTTGAAATGTAGTAGTTTTTGCACCGGAGGCAATCGGCTTAGATGTGGGAATTTTTCAATCCACTGAGGTTTCCAGCCCATTTTAAATCATAAAAATCCTGAACTTTGGATAAGGTATTCAACCCAAATTCAGCTCACTTTCGAAGCCGAGCAAGAAATCAAACTTTCGACTTGCCTACTAAAAACACTAATAATAGATGGAGTAGTTTTAATCGGTTAATTGCCTGAGACCATTATACTCATAAATAAATTAAGATGGAGGTCCATTCATACACCTTCGTGTCCATCCTCGTCAAAAAATTAATGTTTGAATCTCGTCTTACGGACTATTTGTATGAAATATTCCAACCGGGTCAAATGCGATGGCTGCGCTGCAAAAAATTGTTTCACTGTAAAAGCCATTTTTGGATCCTTGGAGGCGACCGTATTTCTAACCGAGTCTTCATACACGTCAGAAAACCAAAATAAAAAATAAATTTCCCATAAAAAGGGACATTTGTCGAAGATAAAAGATTGTTTATCAGGATTAAATTTAAACCCAACAAGGGTGACAAGACATGCGGAAGGAAATTTTATAGATGAGCGAGTTTGGGGTGTAGTGAAACCTCGTCAAGCGTACGTACGACCGCGGAGCATGGGACAGCATTCATTCATTTGGGGGTGGGTGTGAGGGAACAGGGGGAGAAGGGGGCTATCTCCTTCACCAAATCTAACCCTGGCAATGCACGATGGATCATGAGGTGTAAATCCTTGCCAAGTTCTGTTTGTCTCCTTTGTACCGCATCTGTCTCTGAGTACCATACCCTGCTCAAGTATGCGCGAATCCTTTTTGATCGCCCTAGTCTATTTTCTTACTGAACCGTTAATTTTGCACATATGCAATAACCATAAGAAATTGAACAATGAGTCGTACAACCCTGTGGCATCCTTAAATTTTGCGTGTTTTGCTGCATTATCTTGTCCATATTCAACGACGAATTAGGAATAAAATAAGTACATGTGTAACGTATTTCATCCCTATACATAAGTGTAAATTCATACGGCATTACTACCGCAGCACGAAACTATCGCGTTTCCCCTTAAACATTTCGCTCAAGTGAGCGTAAAACGTGTCGCATTTCGTCAGGACAAGTAGCTGCTTGTGCAGCCTGACTAAAAATCATCCGTGGAGCCCTGACCCAGGCGTCAAACTGCATCATGCCTGTCTTCGCAATTTGGAGCTTATGCAGCCTTCTTGCAGTTGGGTCGAATACTCAGGTTTTATGCATTCCCCTGGAGAGAGGGCAGGGGTTGCCTGACTGACGCGCGTCTTTGGCAACCAGTCCAGTTTGCCGGCACTTTGGGCCTAGCTGGACAAAGGACATTTGCGTTGGGATATAGCCAGCTCAGTTGGACCTCCCCTTTTGTGCTAATGCACCGCTCGGCAACAGTTGTCACACAGACCTACCCCCCCCCCCCTCGGACAGGTGTACCTGTGGACTCAAAATAGAGCGCTGACTGTCATGGTAGCGGCAGGGGGGGGATCGCGGAGGGGGAAAGCGGACAATAGTGCGAGGCTCGCAAAGAGTTACAAAGGCCGGAGAGATGGCAAAATTGACAGCTTAGGAGGAATGCATCGATCCTTTTGCTGCAAATTCTTAGAAGACAGACAGCGAGAGAGGGTTAACGTCGCTCAAATGCAGCAGAATTCTCATCATCTGTCTGTCCAGAAAGGCCTCCGTTTCGGCCTACTTTTCGCCCTTGCCTTTGTTTTGACAAACGTTAATGAGGAAACAGGTGATTTTATCTTATAATTCGGACGTTTTGTGCACGACCCCTATTGACTAAAGCAAAAAAGGTTACGATGACAGAAGACAATAGTTTGCTTCCGTTTACTCCCTAGCAATGAGAATGCCAGACAGTCTGCCAAAATAAAGGTGATAATGCTGAATAATCAGAAGTCTGTTCGGGCAGTTTTAGTGAAACACGATCGCAGTCAGTGTCAACGGAGCTATGTGTAAGTCTTTAAATTAATAATGCGTAGCAAGTGCTCTTAGAGGTGTCAGAAAATTTGTGCAGATATGTAAGCATAGCAAACAGCTTACAGAATGTAAGTTTTTTCCCTTATGTTAACGTCAAAATCTTTTTGTTCAAAGCTAATCTGTTCCCAACAAGTTACGAAATTTCAAGGAGCGTCGTGCACGAAACATAGAAAGAAAGGAATACCCAACCATGCCACCCTTTAAATCGTTTTTTGTCCAATTTCATAATCACCTGCATATCTTAGTAAGTCCGTGGCAATTACTCTTTCTGTAGTTCGGTCTTTCTGGGAGTGAAATAAATCTCCACCAACTGACTTAAAACAAAACATCCACAATCACATGAGCAATTAAATATGTCAAAAATGTTTGCTAATTATTCTGAGTGAAGATGATAAGCAGATGCAGGATTTTACGTAAAGTGATGTAAAGAATACTGTTTTGCGTACGCCTAGCCTCATGCAACCGGCTTGCAAAATTATTAAAAAAATGCACAATGTTCTTTAAAGTTACGAAGGCAGTAGAGAAGAACATACTTGAACTAAAAAGTTCTTACTCAAAAATGAGAGAGAGAGCCGTGTGAAGCAGTGCGATGTGAATGCTGAACTCCAAAATGGGCATGAAGGCAGGTTCTCAAACGTTCATTTGAGCTAACTGTTTGCTTTATATATTAATGAAATGAGGGATATCGGTTTGAATGGCTATATATTCGTGATTTCCAGGTAATTTGTAAAAAAATTGTTTCCGTAGAGCAAACATCATGCTTAGCTGGACTGTTAAAATAAGTGAAAACACGAATACAGCAAATACGTTGCTTTTAGCTGCATGGCAAAACTATTTTGGTAAGGCATTCTGAGACGAAAACAACTTCTTATCTCTTCCTCTCTCTTCTCCCCTCTCTCTCCAATCGTTCGTCAAGCCATTGTTTGCGTGCAGATTTGATCAGATATATTTGAAGACAGCCGGGTGAGATAATGAGTAAAACTACATGATATCGGTGCACGATGCTTGTATCATAAACGTGAGGACAAGACCTGACAGTATTTCAAGTTCAACATGCAACACTCACAGAAAGAAAGCAATTGAGCATGGTTTTTAACAATAACTTAAACTTCAGCTCAGAAAAGTGTTAGAATTCTCCTCTGTTTCTTAATATGGCGGACCAAAAACTGAAATATCTTTGTGCAAGTAGCTAAAATGACCAGGTATGCCCAGTTGCTGAAGTGGTAAAGACTTGAAAACGCCTTTGGCTTGTGTTAGTAAATATTTCGAACTTACAGACCGAGTCAGGATTGCAGTAGCACAGGTTTGAGTTAGAAGTAGTTTTTTGGCCCTTCCAGTTGGGAATTAACCAGAGGGTGGAATTGGGTAAATTGCTTCTGTAGCTTGGAAATGCACCTCGAAAGTGCTTTCAAAGTCAAGCTAAGGAAAGGCATTCCGTACATCTCTGTGTGAGACTGCTTTAGTATTAATTCTGTAGGTCAAGTGAGCCCCTTCCCTTGTGAGCTTCCGCAATGCGAAAACATGATAAATACCACCGGCTATGTTGCCGGCATATTCAGGATAACGAAAAAACTATTGGGCAAAAAGCTACATTTTTTATCTGGCGTAGACTGAGCATTAGTTGCACTTCTGCATCGGTGGGCATAAAACGCATTAAAAAGGTGTGTAGCGACCGACAGTGCATTTGTGACAGCGCGGGGAAATAACTTACGCACTGCTGTTGAGTACGTTTGCAGGACAGTTACAGAGAGGTATTTTAAGGAAGGGCGATAAAGTATAACAGGCTAGAGCGCAGTTCCAATGTATCCACATCAAAAATATGATGATGTTGCTTGTACAGTCTAGCACGCGTACCCGCAAGCTCGATCTGTCTACCTGCTTACCGCTTTCTTAACAGGTACAGTAAATGGGCTAACTCATGAAATGTCGACCAAATTTCCGAAATGCGTTTTCGTTTCGAAAAGATTAATTAAGTGGGTTTGTAAAACTAGTCAGTCTGCAGCATAATTCTATAATAATTCAGTTACCTCAGGATGTGGGCTTTCGGGAGGACTTCCTTCCGGCTGCATACAAAAACTATACACTGTAAAAAATGACTACATAAGAAGCATGAACTTTTCTCATCGATTTTCGATGCCACTAAAAGTTCAGTGATATATCAGGGAAACATGCGTAGAAATATTAATTCCTTCGCTTATTCGGTAGAAAATTGTGTCTTCCTTCAATTTTATACCCAAAGAAAGAATAGTACTCGGTTTTTAAAAGAATTTATCATTCCCGAGTAATTTTGAACCCTCTCTGCCGTCACAGTTGCAGTAAGGTTTTTCAACTTACAAGCCATGTATTTTCCGCGTACAGAAAACCACACATTTCTCTACGGTATTGAGAGGAGACCATATGGGATTCATAAAATCTAGCTGTTAATTTGATCCACATTGTCAAATTTACTAGCCAAATTGCTAAATGCAAAGACATGACGTTTTATGAATGGCCATTTCACGGTATTTAAGTCTCACAGCAAGACACTTTTTTAAAACCAACTTATGTCCCTCCTTCGTGTATATAATTAAAAGAAGACGTGGGTTTCTGCCGAATGGGTATAGGAATGAATATTTTTACCCATGTTTTTCGCGAAATATAATTGAACCTTTAGGGGCATCGAAAAGGAATGAGAAAAATGCATGCTACGTACGCAGTAGTTTTTAAGGAGTATAGTTTTGCATGCAGCCGGAGGGAAGTTCATGCGAGAGTCGGCGTCCTGAGGTAACTGAATTATTATAGAATTGTACTGCAGACTGATTAGTTTTACATCCTTACTTAATTAATCTCTTCGAAACGAGAACACACTTTGGAATTTTGGTTGACATTTTATAAGTTAGTCTACCTACCGTATGTCCATTTTTACATGATAGAATCGAAAAAAGTTGCGGATGAAAAATTGATGGTGGTAGTATTGAAACCTTGAAATTACCTTGAGTCCTTTTACGATCGCAAGGACGATGAATGATGCATGTTTGTGCTCCAAGTGAGAACACTGTTCTAAGAGAGAGATATTGGCTACATTGGTAAAGCAAAACAGTCATTAATGCTTTTCAACACTTTTTACCGCTCAGTATCGCTTAATTTACCGTATTAAAAGACATAATTGGACTTAATTCTTGGAATTCGCCAAACGCTGGCGGTACTTCATAATTTATAAGCCTGACATATGTAAAGCACCGGCAGTAAGGGTTTAAAATACAACCATATCTTAACCAACCGAGCCGCACTTTTTGGAAGTCATATTACGAGTTGAACTGATTAAGAGAATTAAAAAATAAGTATTGGTTACTTTGTGATCGAAGTTTCCCGAGCAGACAGTTAGAAAATTTGCAGCGACACGAGCTTGAGACAAAGTATGCGCACTTAATGTGCCGTCGGAATTCGCTGGACAAATAAAGCCCCTCTTGCATGATTTAGTATAGTGGAAAATAAGGTCCCAAACGCGATTCATTTGTGAACCCGGGGGACATACAGGGGGACCGTGCTCGTTAACATTTGCAGTTTAGACTGGCAGTTTTGGATTAAGAACAATTTGATAGTCTACAGTTTTTTTTTCTCAACTCAGGAACAACCTTAATGCGGGTTCTGCTAGACGTTCACCCAAAAGTTCGTTGCGGGCCAGAAACTCGCATACTTCCACGAATCCTGCATCTAAGCAAGCAGATTGTTGGCAAGCCAGAGATGGTACGACTCGCGGACGCCGGAATCACCCGGGATACCATTGATGCTGCCTTTTTGCAATTCATACGAGCCATCATCTTTCGCAGCGGACCCCCAGCCGAAAGATACTGTGTCAAAGATCCCTTCCTTGACAGTGTGATGGGCTTTCTTTTCGAAATTTTTCCCAACTCAAAGTTCATTCTTATGATTCGTGATGGACGTGCCGTGGCGCACTCTATAGTCAGGTAAGTGTCTTTTCCATTGTTTTTTTTGATAATTTCAAAACAAGATGTATCATTTTCCGGAACGAAACTAAAACCGGTACAAATGCGTGATAAAAACAACCTAGGCAAGCCCAAATTGTTGGCCTTTTTATTTTTCTGCTGCGCAGGACCATCAGCTTGAAGGACATGTTTTTTGGTATGAGCAGAAAAAATTCTGCATTTAAGCCCCAAGTTTAGATGTGGAAAAGATGAACTTCCGGTGAGAAAGAAAAACGTAAAGTCAGCACGCTAAGCAGAGCTCTTTCAGTGTGAATCAGGATGACAAATAGATGGCAATCGCAACTGAGAACCTTGATTTGCAAAACACGCAACCAAGACCACAGCCGTTTTCAGTGAAAATACGCATGTGTCCAGCCAACATATAGACTCCAACTGACATCGTCCTTAGGTTCTCAAGGCTTTTAACAAAGTAATTATTATCCGGGAGCATTATGGTGCGTTTTGAAAATCGGTGCATATTTCTGCGTGACCCGCATTGGTCTATATTCAGTGTGGGAGTGAGGCTGACCAGTTGCAAGAATTAGTATATGTGCTGTCAATAACATTAAAATGGCCGTCGTCAAAAACAATATAACGTGAGTTTTTTCATTGCGACCGACGGCTTAACCATCCCAGCCGCCAATAATAACATCACGACCACGGCAACTGGTTGAAGGGTTTTACAATGCCTCCAGATCATGTACTGAAATCCTATTCCATTTGCTGAAGTCAGTAAGCTTACTTACGTACGCAAAGTTTTGCGGTTATCAAAATCTTTTCCAATTCTCGAATACGTTTGTATCTGATCTGCCGTTACACTTGCATTTAGGACTTCCACCCTACAAGCCGTATACTTCCGCGTACGGAAAACCATACATTTCTCTACGGTATTAAGAGAAAACAAAATGGAATTCATAAAATTTAGCGGTGGATTTGAGCCATACTGCCAACTGTGCAAGCCGCATTGGTAAATGCAGAGACGTGACGTTTAATGAACGGCCATTCCACACTATTAAAAAATCTCACAATTAGAATCGTTTTGAAAACCGAATTATACCCTTCCTTCGAGCACAAAATCGGAAGAAAACGCAATCTTCTACCGAATAAGTAGGAGAATGAATGGTTTTATGAATGTTTTCCACGACATATAATTGCATTTTTAAGCTAACGGAGATCAGTAAGAAAAACTTATGCTACTTAAGTAGTTATTTTTACAGAGTATATTTTAAGCATGCAGCCGGAAAGAAGTTCGTTTGAAATCCGGAATCCTCTAGTCACTAAGTTATTACAGAATTGTTGCAGGATGATTAGTTTTACAACTCTACCTAATTAATCTTTTCGAAACGAAAACGCGTTTCGGAATTTTGGTCATTTCGTGGTTTAGCTCACCTACTGTATATTATTGTATACATGAAGAAAATGTAAGCTAACGAAACAGGGGTTTATATGTCGCATCATATAGTGAAACCCCATGAAAGACTGAACTACCACGCTATTTTACAGCAAACAGACGCCAGTGGTTTTTCACCACGTCGAACTGTGCACTTCCACAAAGTAACAGATTCGGGCAAGATGAAAGCTTTAGTGCAGAGCAAATCACATACAAAAGGGCAGTGTAGCGCTTTGGGGGGACTTTATTGACTCGGTGAGGGCACAGCATAATAACAGGCATATCATACACTATTGAAATAGACAATGTGTAAGAAATGCAATTTTCTGGATCGGCCAGATGGATTTCCAGACAAATATCCGCATACGCTGAGCGGGATCGCCGTGGTCATATTTTTTTCCGTAGCTAGTCTTGTGAGACAGGTTTTGTTTGCATGCTTATTTAAGGTGCAGTCCGCATTTTCGGGAGTTTCGGTCTACTTTTTTATTTTTCGTGAAGTTCTCTTCTTACGTTCATTTCTTTAGCGTGGCATTATTCAGGGTTGACGCGCCATTAAAAAGCACCAACAGTACGTATTCACTTTGGCAAAGGGCTCTTCTTCGACTTCTAACAGAGATGTGCATTTTTGGGCATTTTCTCCACCCCGTTTGAAGTTTTCATCCTGCGCCTCAGTGCAGCGATTCAGTGCAACATCGGGACTTAACCACGTTGGCAGTCGGTGTGGAAATAAATAATTAACAAAATTTCCAAAAAGGGGATAGTCACGTCTGGACTGCGGCTTTCCGGTCGGCCCTGACCTGCGAAAAGCATTGTTCGGGTGGAATATCGGCTAGACCACTGAATAATACGCTATAGGCAGATTAAATCGGATATAACCGCGCTAACTTTATTTTTCCGTTGCGTGTGGACTGAAGGAAAACGGCACTAAACTAATCTCTCGTCCAGAAGGGGCCGGCTGTGTAAGACAGAATTGCCTTGATAATTCACCTATATTTTCCAATTAAGTGCAAGCACATTTATTAACGATGAAAGAGCTTACGGAGAAGGGACAGTCATGCGTTTTTCTTGTTGGTTTAGTTAGGAGACTATTGATGCACATAAGTTTGCCTGCATACACTAAAGCTACCTTTGGGGTAGTCGAAGAGGCCGGTTCGACTTTTGCTTTATATCTGCTTTACTAAGGTGTTTAATGTTGCATTTTTTCTACTTAGTTTTTTTTCTACTGAACAAAAACTTGATTGGAACCTGTTGGGTCACTATTAAAAGTTAGGAGGAAACAAAGTATTTTAAGAATTTCAGAAAAATGTTCAAGAGTAGATGCGTTCTACCGGATCTACCCTTCTTCCCTAGACAAATCGCATGTTAATACAGTTCCAACCAGTCAATATTTACACATTTGTTTTGTTTAAACAGTTAGACGTGCAGTACGCGTGGGTTTACTAATTACGCGACCCGTTACTCGGGATGATGGGGAGAGATTAATTTGGTTAGCTCGTAAGGTGACTGGACCTGGGGCAATTTTTGGGGCGGACTGGTCAATTTGATATGAGTGAGTAACCCACTTAGGGGCTAACGGCAGAAAAAATTGTCAGTTGATTTAATTCCAAACCCTAGTAGCTGTGGCCTCCGGCGGACGTTGTTCCTCGTGTTGACTCAACGGAAGACATTTTTTTGAACAGTCACTACTTAAATGGCATGCAAGGTAAATGATTCTGTCTAAATAACTCCTCTGGTTGGTGATTCGGGTAGGATTTCCACCATGGCAAATGATACGTTAGTAACATACCTCGAGTGGGCTGTGCAATTTGAGTACGAATTGGCCGAACAGGCGATATTAACGACTAGAACGGGGTTTAAGGAATTCTAAGTAACCAACAAGCACAGAGTATGAAATATAAGCGCATATATATAAAGTCAGGATATTTGCGAGTAAGGAGCAGCACGATAATCTGGCAGACGTCTTGTCTGAAGAAAGACAGCAGACGCACAATGGTTTGGGTTTACTTAGCGGGTAGACTTCGCCTATGCTGTCCCCAGGATGGGCCACAATGGTGAATCAGCAGAAAGAACATTGTATAGTTGGTTTGGTCGTAGTCCATCTGAAGGCCATTGGTTGGCATAATTACTCCGGTGAGACTTGAAGTAAGCATTGGGGTATTCACCCACATCTGAGTCCGACCAAAGGTCGGCTCTTTTAAAAGAAGGGGCTAGCTGAAAAAGAAGTGTGCTTTAACGTAGGATAACAAATGAAGACCAGGCGCGTTCGGAATTTAGAATGTGGGATATTACACGATGAATACTTGCGGTATTTTGTAAAACCCGCTTACTGCAAAATCAGCATCAGATAAATTCAAGTTCTAATCTTCGAAGATTGCTTTTTGACTCTCCTTTAAACGAGACGTTAAGAATAAAATTAGCCTCTCTACTTTCAAAATTTCGGAATACGCCAGGCTTTCAGTTTTGTTCTCACACTTCTGTCTGCAGTCCAGTCTTTTAAAGTGATTTTTGAAAGTTTCTGACGGGTAATCTCGTAGCCGCGCTAATTTCAGGAAGAATGTTAATTAACTTGCATTGTAATTCAATCATAAATACAGCATTGCTCGCCCACCATCACATTGTCGCAAGTCATCAAATTTTCGCCCATGTAAACCTGTAAAAAATTACTATTTGCTCAAACGCGCCCATCACTCTTTTGGTTTGTGGTGTATTCGGGCTGTAATAACAGCCCCGGTGCTTGATTTGACTTCTGTATAAACAAATTAAGTATTCTTGCAATTCAAGACTAATGGACCGCTGTTTTGACGTCGACCAACATAGGCATGTCAACAAAACAATTAGTGTTAAAAGTACCAAGAAAGGCGTGAATTATTTAAAAATTTTAAGTAGTTTATGAAGTGCGGGTCATTTCACACGAGAGATTCGCCCTAGAAGTTATGTTGGACTAGACAAACTTAACAAAATCCACTCTGAATGTTTAAAACCTTGTACCCAAACAATAAAATCCTTTTTTCGATATTAAACGCCCACCAAGCCTGTAACTGCTTAAATTTCATTTGGTTCAACCAGCCACATTTTAGGAATCAACTTGACCACCTTCTTGACAGAAGCTTATTAACTGTATAAAAAGTAGGCTGTGGAATAAAAATGGAAGTTCAGTTTGACGTCCAAGTGCGCACAGAAATAGGATGCATCAGAAGCAATTTTCGGAAGACATTTTGACCGAAGACAAATCACTACACATATGATACAGTAAGATGGCACATATTTAAATAAGGCTTTTAAATAAAAATAGCTAATAATTCGCATTTAGCAAATAAATGTACGTGCCTGCATGCACTGTGCAGGGGATTCAAAGAAAGAAGAGTAATACGTCTCAAAAGCCATGAAAGCGAAGATAAGAAGCCCAAAATTGAATCGTACTTGGAACAACACACTAAACGATTAGCCTGTCAGAAATGACTACTTTACACTAGTGGACAATACCTCGTTGCAATGTATGGCACGAAACCTTTTCTCCGGCGTAGCCAAAAATGATTCTTGGGCAAAGGCAGTGGTTAAATTGAAAATTACAATGACCACTCCGGAGTTTGTGAAATATTTAACAAAACAGTCTACGTGATGCGACCTACAGCAATTCAACATTTAGTCGTGCGGAATGCATACTGTTGCCAAAAATAGCAAAGCAATCAGCCGACTGAGTTTTGTCCTGATATGTCGGCAAAAGATGCCCAAGAACGCTAAAAAAGCAGATGCATTTGCTAGCATAAAACGCCCTCAATTATTGTACGCGAAGAATACGCCTGTATAGAGCCCGACATTTAATCGCTCTTGCCCTGAATACACAACGATGTCCATTTCTACTTAACTTAGCAAACTGACGCTTTTTGTCGTTCGCGTATTTGCCAGAGCACAGGTCTCCATTTTCAAGACCAAATAAAAGGGCTATTTCAGAAGAACCGTACTATTGTGTTATTCATGGCCCGTTCTTTCCAATTTAGCATCATTTAAAACTTGCACTTTTTACGATAAAGAGGCGATGTATTAGGACTAAAATAGTCTACTCAATAGATTTATGCTGAGATAGATTAAAAGCTGCTACCATTGTAGGGTTCTTCGTTCGTAAAGTGTTGCTGAGTCTAGTGATTAAAAAAGTGCGACTCTGCCTTCAAAACTCAGTGCTTTTAGCGGAGTCAATGGAGTGACCTGGTTGTTACTGTTATTGTAGAACGGCAAGTTTCAATTTAAATTTGCCAGTATTGTTGACCGGTATAGGACAAACAGAAAGTAGCGGTTATAAAGAAAAAGAAGATACAATCACTGGAATGAAAAGTTTCTTGGCCTGGCGTTTCGGACTCTCACACGAGCCCATCATCAGAGACCGTCTCTACTGATGGTTTCGACTGAGAATCCGAAACGTCAGACGAATAAACTTTTCATTGCTGATAGAAGCGAACAGGTGAGTTCCAGGTAGCAGTTCAGAAGACGAAGATGCCATCACTGGAACCAGAAATTTATTGGCCTGACGCTTCGGATTCTCACTCGAATCCGTCATCAGATACACTCGCAGATAAAGGCGATGGTGGCATAAGGAGTGCAGTATTCATAGCACGTGGCTGTCGTGGGACCATATGCGCACTGTAATAAACAGCTCTCGTAATAACCGCTGGGGTCATAATTGATGCGGTGGCGGCTTGTCAGTTCGAGTCCGAGTCGGTAATGGCCGTGATTTCGTCATCCTTGCTGGATGCTGATGTGATGATTGCGCGGCAAATTGGTTCACTGTCACTGTGATAATTGCTCGTCCGCGTCCTTCGCACGTGACTGATTCCCCGGTCCAGGGAAAATTTCAGCACGGAATATGGTACTGGGAGGTCATTGCACTTTTTGATGGATTGCGGGCCTGAGAACCATGACTCGAGCAGCTCGCGGCTCACGCGGTTGTCACCCCTTGCGAGGATTTCGGCCTCTTGATGTTTGAAAATATGTCCGGGTCCCGTCGAGTGTGCCGTCACCTGAGAGCTAGCGTCTCCCCGCCTCACTGCTGCTGCGTGCTCGGCCATTCGCGCACGGAGTAATCCCTCAGTTTCTCCGACAAAGTTGCTTTGTCCGCAACTACACCAAATCCGGTAAACGACTCCAGACGTTTCCTGCCGTGGCAGCGGGCCTTATGTCCTCATGACTTGGCGTCTAATGGTTGCTTCCGGCCTGTGTGCAACCCCAACTCCAATTGGAGTGAGAAGACGACTGACGGCTTCCGAGATGTTCTTTACGTACGGAAGAGCCCGCCAATATTTGGGGCCGGTTGGAGTTGGTCTTTGGTGTCCTTTTCAAATGCACTGGTTGACAAACTTGAGGGGGTAACCACTGGCTCTCATTACCCGTCGAAGATATTGCAGTTCGGCAACCCTGTTTTCCATTTCACTGCAGTGCGTCTCAACGAGCCGGTATAGCGCCCTTACGCAGCTGCGTTTGTGACTGATCGGGCCGGAAGCAACCATTAGGCGCCAAGTCATGAGGCCAAAAGACCCGCTGCCACGGCAGGATTTCGGCCCCTTGAAATTTGAAAATATGGCCGGGTCCCGTCGAGTGTGTCGCCGCCTGCGAGTAAGCGTCTCCCCGCATCACTGCTGCTGCATACTCGGCAGTTCGCGTACGGAGTAATCTCCCTGTTTCTCCGACATAGTTGCTTTGTCCACAACTACATCAGATCCGGTAAACGACTCCAGACGTTTCCTGCTGTGGCAGTAGGTCTTTTGGCCATGTGACTTGGCGCCAGTGATCACATTCTCCTCTTCTTCTGAACTGCTTCCTGGAACGCCCATTCGCTCCTATCAGTAGTGGTTAAACTACCATAGCCTTTTCCTTTTGGCCAGTGTTAATCTTCGACCATAAGTATTATACCAGCGTCAAATGGTATCATTAAAAGTGCTTGACAAGCTACACTCACGTGCACTCATCTGCCCGTCCTAGTCAAACATGACATGCAGCATATAACTGGTCGCTCAAGCGCCTCGTTTCTTTAAGCGTAATTTTTCCCAATAAACCAGCATGCGTCGTTAGTGCCTGCGGAGCGGAAGTTTATGACTAGAAGAAAATTCATGGAAAACAGGCTAACTTGGCGAATGCAAATTTTATGTCAGCTTACGCACTTGTCCGGAGTTTTCGCCTTCTAAACAGTGAAAATTTGCAGTGTGATCATTTGACGCATTAAGGGGGATTTGCTCTGGCATTTTCAGCCAGTACAAAAAACACTCATTCATGCCTCATCGCCCATGCTGTCCTACTCGTCCCGGAGACAGCCAGTTCAGACCGGCCAAACATAATGCCGCACAGCATGCCTCATTAGGACGAATAGAGCACGACGGCGAGAAGGTGTTAATTTGTAAATGCGAGATCGGATTTAATTAAATTGGACGGCATTGAAAATGTATTATTGGCAGATAGAACTGGGGTCTTCACTAGAAGGCCACTGCGTAAACTAGTTCAAATGAAAACTCTATAATTATACTTCCCCCTTTTTCCATTTCTTTTGGACAGTTTTCTCCTGGTATTGTGGTGATGTAACTAGGCGAGTTAAGTTTCTACTATTGGATATGCAGTGGAGGACAGGATTTCATATGTTGATCATTTTCCGCCTATTTCAACCTCTGATTTCATTTCTCCCTTGAGACCAGGAACTAAAGTTTTAGACGCACTTGGTACACGCCTATTCATTTAAATGAAGTGCATGAAGTGCGGTCGTCAATGTACTACGATTTAATCCAACCCGTCAATAAATTAAAAAAACTGTCATGCGACGGAGAAAAGTACAAAAGGGACGGTCGAGTCGCATCGTGCGGCTGATTAACACAGTTGATTATGAGCTTATGCTGCGCGAAGAATGTTCTTATTTAGTGCCGACTTGGATTTTTACGCCACACGCGTTTACCTTTGCGGTGTTGGAGTGAATATTCATTAAAGAATTTTTAAGGGGAATCTATGACTGATAGCCATGGAAGGCGAAAAGCCGGTTCAGTGCTTATTTTAACATCTGCTAAGAGGCAAGACGAATGGTAATGCTTTTTAAAGAACAAAGTTACTGTTTCTAGGACGAATTAAGCTATTTCGTCGTCATTTTTTAGGAGAAACGATTTTTTTCTTTGAAGGACTCTGTGGCCTTCGAAAGCCCGTTCCATAAAAAGTTGCATACTGTTTTCATTTGTTCCTGTGCCTTGCAGATTTGAGACCTCGCCGTGAGTTGTCAAGTCTGCTTCTATCTGGTGCGGTCGGAAACGACTAGCTGACAATTTCCCCCTATTGTTTGTATTTAGGTCGTGTTTTATTCAACTATGCAAACGTCAGTCAAATATTAGAGACATGTGGGGAGCTGATGTAATTTATATGATCTTAAATTTTGAATCTGAAGGGACATTTACAGTGAGTGACCGATCTCATGGAATGTTGGCCGAAATTCGGAAATGCTTTTTCGATTGAGAAGAATAACCTATGTACCGTTACAATACTGATTATTGAGCGGCACAATCCTATAACGTTTTGGACTGGGCAACATGTCGGCTTTTGAATGAACGTCTTTTTGACCTCCTGAAGGAACCACTTCGGTAACAAATGACTACTTAAATGACATGTATTCCTCCTATTGATTTTCGGTGGTCTTATAAATTCAAATATATTTTATAGGAAACATGCATAAAATATGGTTTCTTTTGTTCGTTCGGTAGAGAATCACGTTGTTTTTATAGTATATACCTGAAGGAAGGGTATAATTTGGTTTTGGAAAAGTTTTCCAGTGCCAGAATAAGTTTGAGCCTGATTAGCCATTGCCTTAAATTTTAGCGAATTGAGTCCACATGGTGCAGGCCTTCGGCGTAAAGAAAATCATATATTCCTCTAGGCCTTTAAAAAAGATACCATTTAGAGTTAACAGAATATTGCGGAACATGTTCTACATTTCATGAGAAGCATTGGCAAACGGACATGTACGGTGCTGCATGAATGGCAGTTCTTAAAAATCTCATAATTGGAAACGTTTCCAAAAGCTAAATATACCCTTTGTTGAGATATAAAATGTAAATATAACGTGATTCTCTACCGAACGAGCAAAGAAAGGCATATTTTATGCATGTTTTCTATAAAATATATTAAATTTATAAAACCATTACAAATTACTGTCAATATGTATGCTACTTAAGTAGTCAACTCTTAACAAGCACGGGTTTCTGTAGGAGGTTAAAAAGAAATGCATTAAAAAGCCGACTTCCTGACGAGTCCGAAAAATTATGGGATTATGCCGCTTGATAATCATTATTGTAACGGTACCTAAGCAATTCTTCCTAATCAAAAAGAAATTTCCAAATTTTGGTCGACATTTCATGAGATCGGTCGCTCACTGTACGTTTAACCTATGTATCCTATTTGTCCCCTGAAAGGAGTCATGCGGTAAGTGTGTCGAATCAACACAAGGGCTAAACTGAAGTCCGGCAGGCGTTATCGAGAATGTGAACTCGTAACAAATGCTTACGTTTGGGGTGCGGTGACACGCCCACGTGCAACCTCACGCCGCACGCGCATGGGGATCTGTGTTGCTGCCCTGTGTTTGTTGTGGTAGAAAGTCAGTGTCCGTGCGGACCAGGCGTTTCTGGTGGTGACACGCCTAGGTGCGGGTTTTCGCCGTGCCTGCCACCTGTGGCCCCTCCTACCTCTGGTCTTTTTGACTTGGTCATAACACTGGGCCTGGGTGGGAAGGAGAGAGTGCTGTAGGTGCAGAGCAAGTCTCATATCACGAGAAACTAGAGTACGCGCACCCCACCATGCCTACTCTCACTCTGCCTTGAAGCACACGATGGACATAGTCGATACTGGTGGTAGAACTGTGTTATAGCATATAGTGAACGTTATGTGGAATTGACACCATTTCTCCGGTCTGAACATGGTTTGAAGACAGTTTCTTTTCATTCTTCCCAAAGTCTAAATCATCGGATTGTGTTTTGGTCACTTTGCATTGGCCAAATGCATGTGATTTCAAAAAAGCACGATTAGGCCTAAAGCAAAAAAATGCTTGTACATGCAATTCAATCTTGTCTTAGTCTCAGTGCTGTTTCCGCATTATCCGTTTAGAAGAGTCAATATTCTATGCGAAGAATTAATTTTTACAGAGAGTTTTAACTCTTTCTCACATTGTAAAGGGGTCCTGTTTTAATTCTGGCCTCCAGATTGCCTTATGCTGTAGAAGATAGCAGGGAGTGTTTCAGTAGTACCTGCCATCTCCGTCCGCGCCTGGTTAAGTCGGTACTACTCAAAGCATTGGCATGTAGGTAACTGCAATAGGAACTGACTTTCTTGGATCCGACAAATATAGTATGCTACCGCTGTCACGGAGAATGAACCGCTTTGACGCTGATAAGTTTTGTATCAATATACTTTTGCTAACGTATTGAAGGTGCAGGGATTGGGCACGCGAAGTTCGTTTTAAGAGCTACGGCATTCGAAATAAAATCTTCGGTTGAGGTGAGTTCTACCACTGTGCTTCTAGGCCCTTATTAAATCCGTTTTAGAGTGTAGAATGTTGCGTATTTTTCACTGAAAAATTTAATTAGCGAGCTAGCTTTATAAAAAATATCGGAGCGTCATGCAAGTGATCGGAGACGAGGACGATAACAGTCAGTTTCATTAAAAAGAATATTTAACGTGATTTATCCCGAACAAAAAGAGGCGAGCGTTATTAAGAGGTCTAGTTCGGCCAACCTTAGGAGCCGGGTAGATTAATAATGTTCAAACGTTTATACGGACTATGTTTCGCAGTTAATGATTAATTACATTTTGCCCCGTTCCCTAGTTACCACCGTTGTTTGAAGTTAAAACCGCCCCGAGCTGCGTTATCGGCATAACTTCACTCTCTTAGTCTGTTTGTGATGAATTCTCTAGTTGCTGCACATGACTACAACAAATGCGATTGGTAAGTAATTCATTCGCTTAGGCTACCATTCGGCATGCTAATATACTTTAATCGCCAGTAGCAGATTTGCAGGCATCACGTTTTCGAACCATTAGCATAAAATTCGGCAAACTCTAGATACGTACAGACAGCGTCAACGGGTGGGCGTATCGAAGATACAGTAGGTAGGCTAATTCATGAAATATCAGACAAAAGTTCGAAATGCGTTTATGTTTCGCAAAGATTAATTAAGTAGGGTCGTAAAACTAGTCAGTCTGCAACATAATTCTATAATATTTTACTTACCTCAGGATGCCGGCTTTCGAATGAACTTCCTTCTGCTGCATTCAAAAACTACATTCTGTAAAATATGACTACTCACGTAGCATGAATTTTTCTCGTTGATTTTCAATGTCCCTAAAAGTTCAACTATATTTCCTGGAAAAAATGCATTAATTTATTCATTCTTTTGCTCATTCGGTAGGTACTTAAGTCTTTTTTTAATTTTATACCCGGAGGAGGGACATAATTCAGTTGTCCAAACGTTTTCCAATTACCTTATTATTTTGAACCCGCTCTATCGGTATACTTGGATTCAGGGTTTCCGAACTACAAGCCGTATACTTTCTTCGTAAGAAAAGCCACACATGTCTCTACGATAATAAAGGGACCATACAGGGTTCATAAAACTCAGTAGTGGATTTGATCTATATTGTTGACTTTACAAGCCACATTGATAAATGCAGAGACATGACGATTTATGAACGGCCCTTTCACCTTATTTAAAAGTCCCATAATTGGAAACGTTTCTAAAGTCAAATTATGTCCCTTCTTCGGGTATAAAATCAGAACAAGACGTAATCTTCTACCGAATGAGCGAAAGAATGAATATTTTTATGGACGTTTTTCATGAAATATAATTGGACTTGTAGGGGCATCACTGATCAATGAGAAAGATGCATGCTACATACGTAATCATTTTTTACAGTCTAGTTTTTGCATGCAGCCGGTGGGAAGTTCATTCTAAAGCCGGCATCCTGAGGTAGTTGAATAATTATAGAATTATGTTGCAGGCTGACTAGTTTTACAACCCTACTTAGTTAATCTTTACGAAACGAAAACGCCTTTCGGAATTTCGGCTGACATTTCACGAGTTAGTCCACCTACTTTACGTTAAAGAACTACTGAGATCAGACTACAGAAGCTAAATTTCTTCGGAAATAAAGGGAACAATAAACCACTAGAGCCACTGAGATACGGCGTTTACTGAAGAAGAGCGATGAATTTTTAATGTTAGGAGGCCGTGGGACCTTGTAGGTGCCAGAAGTGCGACATCGAGATGACACTTAAATAAGCATCTCAAACTTTGCCTGCAGAATAGTTAATTCAACGTGGCAATAAAGAACTCTTACTTCAGTTTTCGCAATTCAGGACTCAAGTTATACAGATGACACATAAAATGAGATAAGAAGGCAAACGGCCTTAATAAGTTATTGTCACCAAAATGACTAAAATATCGATAGTGTCAAAATTTCACTAAAAGTGTCTTGAGTCTTTGTATGTATATACTCATCACGAACTTACTGAAAGAAAATTTTTAAAGCTTCCATTTATTTGGGCCCACATGGGATAAAACGTGTAAACAGTTGTAAGCAACAATTAGGTTAAAAAGGAAAAGTCCGCTAGGTCAATGCCCCCCAAGTTTTTAATATGCACATACCTCTAAAGTCGCCTGTGTTTGTCAGTTGATTGTGAAAAAAGTAAAACTAATTCGCTCATTGGCGAGGCATTCCTCAAGTTAACGATACTAAGGGACTGTCGCCAGCACATTAGGATCACTAAGGTAAAAAGTCACTCGTCACCCATATCGGTATTTCGTCGTCTAAGTTTTCCACCGCGGGGCAGTATCCGCAGGCGCAAGGAGGCATTCATCGTCTTTAGCCAAAGGAGGATTGGGTTAACATTTACAGAGGTGAAGGAATGACGGGAGTGTATAAGTCTAGCCGGCGTATGTGGATGACGATACGCACCGATGCATTTAACTATGAGTTCGCCTGCCTCGTTACCGAGAGCGTAGACGAAGGCGACAATTACGCAGCCGAACAGGTGCAAGAAACATGCTCGTCAGACGCTCATTCGACCGACAAGTTCCCCAAGCTCATGCAACATTTCGAATGAAGATTGCAGGAAGAAAAACTCCCCAACAGGTCACCCTTACAAACATTAGCTGTTGGGCAACCGCTTGTCTTGGTCATGCTGGCGTCCATTCTTGGGGTCGATGTTGAACAAGAGCGAGGTCAACGATATCACAAAGGCAAAAAGATGTCAGTGGACAATAGGATGTGGATTTCGACGAATTTATCCATTCTTGACGATAAAATTTATAATATACAGAAGGTGGGCTAACTCATGAAATATCAGCCGAGATTTCAAAATGCGTTGCCGTTTCGAAAAGATCAATTAAGTAAAGTTGTAAAACCAGTCATTGTATAACAGAATTCTATAATAATTCAGTTACATCAAAGTGCCGGCCTTTGAATGAATTTCTTGCCGACTGCACGCAAGTACTACCCTCTGCAAAAAATGGCTACTTATGTAGCATGCAAGTTTCTCATTGATTTTCGATAACCTTACAAATTCGCTTATATTTCATGGAAAATATACATAAAAATATCCATTCTTTTGCCCAGTGAGTAGAAAATGCCGTATTTTCCCAATATTATAATCAAAGGAAGATATAATTTGGTTTTGAAAAGTTTCTAATTGGGCAATTTTTTTGATACCCTGAAATGGCCTCATAAAAATGTCATGTCTCTGCATTTACCAATGTAGCTTGTAGAGGTAGCAATATGACCCAGATCAACTGTTAAATTTTATGAACTCCATATTGTTTCCTCCTAATACCGTAAAGAAATGGATGGTTTTTTATACTCAGAAAATATACAGCTTGTAGTTTGGAAGCCCTGAATGCAAGTGTAATGACAAGTCGGGTTCAAAATTAATCGGGAATCGGAAAAGTTTTTGAAAACCTAATTCTGCCTTTCTTTCGGGTATAAAATCGAAGGCAGACGTCATTTTCTACCGAAATAGTGAAGAACGAATATTGTTTGGATGTTTTCCATGAAATATAGCTGACTTCTTAAGCGCATCGAAAATCAATGTGAAAATTGCGCGCTACATAAGTAGTCATTTTTTTGCAGAATATTGTTTTTGCGTGCAGTCGGAAAAAAGTTCATTTGAAAGCCGGTACCCTGTGGTAATTGGATTATTATAGAATTATGCTGTAAAACGTTTAGTTTTACAACTCTACTTAATTAATCTTTTCGAAACGGGAACGAATTACGAAACATCGTTGAAATTTCACGAGTTAGTCCACTTACTGTATCTTTCGGAAATACAGACCTAATGGAAAGACGTGCACTGTGGTATACTGAGAATAACTATTCGTTGTACCCTTGCTGCATCTGTGCTTCTCAGAGGCTGCCAACTGCTTTCTTCACTGCAAACGTTTGCAATTATCAGTTTTTAGTTGAAGCGTTTAATTTGCACGTCGGTTTTATTGAAACAATGTCATTTGGGGATTCTTCACACTTTACGACGCGTGCTAACGCACTCTCCGTCCTGATTTGACTTGCGACCACGGAGTTGGCAACAGGTGTATGAGCCTGCGAAGGCGTTTATACGCGGCGGAGTTAAGTGTCTATTTTCTGCCAGACACACCGACGCCTAGCCCAGGCGACTGTTGAGACAGCTCGCGTTTTCATCATAGCTCAGTTGAGCTAACAGGTGAGGTCTTCTGAAAAGGTCAGACTGATTGCGCTTTTGTTACCACGGCTGACATTAAACCCCGAGTCTCCGTCAGATTTGCCCAATTATAGTCTCAGAGTGACTCACTCGCATAATCCTGTCTTGACATGCACCAGCATTTTGCCCTCAGTAAAACTCTTTATTCATCGCGACCTTCGTAATTAAGGAAAGCGGAGCTGGCTTGCCGAAAATTACCTGAAAACGGGTTAATACTTGAATAATGTTTGAAATATAAACACAACCGTCGTTTATTAGATTGTGACTACTAGCATACTCCCATTACGTTTCTCCCCGTCTCCCAAGGCATGGTTTATTAAGTTTAAATGACCTAATCATCTCTACAAAATTAGATGAGACAAATAAAATGTCAGACTTGTTTAGCAGGCTGCGTTTTTGAGAAGTGTAAAAATAAATGGGCGAAAAAGAGGCATTTACTTAGCTCAAATGAGTGTCACTCAAATAACACATTCGAGCTTGACCCTTCTCAAAGGAACAGTACGGAAAATGAGTCTGACTGGACCAATGTACTGCGCATGAACATTGTGTGGTAGGCAAAAAATAAGAAACTAGAGATTGAACCACCGATCACGTTCAACTAATAATAATTATTCATCAACGCCTTGCAACCCGCTTTCATCATTGTTTTCGGTTGTAGAACAAGAAGTTAAATGGGTCCTATGTTCGTCTGCACCAGAGTGGCAGCATTCTATTACGTTTTACGTTTGCTGAAAAGTCCTGGTAGGACTGAACGTAATTTAATTAATAAAACATGATGACCAATACCCAGATACTCAATCAGAGATACTTCGGACGATGTGCGTTTCGGTGTTAACTTATGCGTTGCGCGCAACCCTCTTTCTCACACAGAATAGGTTTCTAAATCATTTTTACCAGTGTAAAAAAGATTCATGGGCAGAAACGCTTCTTTCGATTCACTAGCATTTTTTATGGCAAGAAGTGACAAGGACTACGTTTGCACGCTTCCGCGTGCCCATCTAATGGAGGAAATTACTTTGCATAGAGATGTGCGTCTAAACCTTTATTAAATTCAAACTTAATTTGCAAGGCCGGTAAATCGATGAAGGTTAGATGTCTTTAACTAAGCTACACCCACAAGACAGTTATTATCCCCTAAAGAATTTGAATTTTTATTGTTAGCATAAATCCTTGGCGCAGAGATCAACAAAAAATTATCCGCAATTTCCGAACATGCCTAAATATTCCATAAGTAATAGGTAGAAAGGCCACCGTAATTTGGTCATTTTAAGTTTAAGTGTAAGCCAAGATACCTTTAGCGGAAACGTATGTTTGTTAATAAGTAATTTAGAAATAAGACGGCACCGCGCTAAATATATGGAAAATATTGTAGCATTTACATAGCCGTTCGGTTCTCGGTACTAGCCTTTACCATAAAGGTAAAGGCTAGTACCGAGAGCCGAATAGTGCTAAAGAGAAAGGTTTCAAATGAAAACAAAATAATGTAGTTTAGTTTGCGGGACAAGTCTCGCAGTATTAATCGGAGGAGTACATAAGTAGCTTTGACTTCAATCTGTAAATAATATTTAAAGAAATAACTTAACAGAGAAAAAAATTTCATTTAATCTTGAGAGTTTGCATCATGAACATTATCAGGAGCATCATCTTCTTTTATTTATCCGGCCTCACGTCTAGCTGGGACTGTGACTGCAACCAAAACCACCATTTATAGAATACGTCTGCTCGCAAACTGATTGGCTGAGTAAAGCTGTTAAAATACATCCTATTTTGCGACTTCCCTCAATCGTAAGGTACAAGACCTGCCTTTCTAGGCGACCAGTAGAAAATACTTAGAATCGAAATGTGTCCACAGCAAACTCATGAACCACTTACGGTCCAGCGCAGTCCACTGGCAGCAGAAAGCACAGAGTAGTTTTTCGGGAGAAATGTTTTCCTAATATGGATTAAAGAATATGCTCATGATCGCATCTGCTAATTTGCATTTTCTACTTACTGACCGGCCTTCTACGTGTGAGCTTAGGAAAAAGTTATCTTAATTTTCCATCTGTGAAATAAAACAAATTTACCCGAAATAATTTTATCACTATGAATGCAATGAGGAAAGGGCTTAGGGTAAACCTCCGTGCATAGATTTTCAAACCTTCGTTGAACACAGAATGATCGACCGGCCGTCATACTTTACATTGCTCTAGTCCTCTAAGAACGCTTTTTCCAATAAATAGGTTAAATATTTGTGTCAAATGTTAGTGTGGTCATATCCTCTTAGTTACTCTATTGATAAAAATGGGTGAGTATTTTGTACCTTCGCAAATTAATTTTATTTTTATGCTACTAGTTTATGCGTTTAGGGTATTTGTGTATTTTATGCAAGGTTGTTACTTAGACCAAAGCAGTATTATTTTTACTGTTTAATTCATACGCTCACCTGACTGAGCTTCCTTCTTCCTTGATGTATGGTGTTGGCCAATACGTTTTGATTGACTCCTAAATTATGCGAGACCTCTTCTGTATTTTTCCCTATTCCATAACTTATAACATCTAATGTGATTGTATACGGCTGACTCTACGGAAAGCTTAAAACCATCTATTTCGGAAAAATTTGAAGTAATATTGCGCAAGAACACTATGATAAAAACACTGTTGAGTTATTTTGTCTCCCGAAGCAAAAAATAAGGAGTAAGTGACGTTGGACTTGGAGATTTTGATGGAAAAACAAAAGTTTAAGAAGTTATTAAACAGAGCAAATAAGAATGGTAGTTCTGATTTGCCTCGTCCAAAAATCCTTCGAAGGAAAGCCGTTTCCTGCGACAATCATATTTACGGTTTCGAACGTCCAGCTAACACGAATTGAGTTCCGCAAGCGGACACCGTGATTCGTTTGAGACCTGCCAGCGGATGTGTAACTGCATATGTGGAAGATTTGCCCCTTTCCTTCAGCGTGCGGTAGCTATCCTATCAGCCGTAGCTGTCCCTCAAAGTCTATTCCTTGGTTATCATATGCCCTGCTTGCATATTGTATCAAAGCAAAAGTTAGGAAGATCATGGAATTGTCTTCTTCATCAAGAGGGGTTGATTTTAGCACATTGTTTTTTTCAGGAGTTGCATCGTTTCCTAAAAGTTCTTCTGAGTATTTGAATTCCTCAGGATTAGATTCATGGGACCTTTTACACCGCCAGCAGTAACAGATTATGTATTTGTTCAAGCGAAAAGGTCCCGTCTTTCGTAGATGATTGACGTTTTGTGATTTTCGATGGTTAGAATAACAATTTCTGTGTGCATGCGATTCCATGATTGTTTATTTTGACCTTTGCTGAAGCATACATCTAATCTGGATCTTAAGTTCATTTAGATAAAGCAGTAGCGTGGTTTTTAATAAACTGTATGGATTACACTATATTCTAACATCAGATTCATAGGCTTGGCGAATGTGCAGTGGTATTATGCTTTTTTATGGGACCGTCTTTAATGTCTGCCGCGGACGTATGTCCGAAGGAATACTTTGCGGACCTGTTTTTGTTGGATAACGATATTTTGTGCAACAAAAGCCGCAGAATTTTGTGCGGTGTAGGTGATATAATAGTAAGGCTCAAAGACAATGCCACCCTTCAAAAGGACACTATCAACTTTGTACGTAAAAATATTGTCTGGTAACATGACCTCCGCCCACTGAATCATACATTCAAGTTGGTGGAGCGGAAGAATGCCGACACAGCGGACCTATAGTAGTGTATAGGTGGTATAGCCCAAAAATATTGAATTGCCACTTTTTTAGAGTGTGTGCTAATTTTCCATCAAGTCAATAATAACTTTCACTATATTTCACAAATCGCGGATATCGATGACCATCTAAATATGCAACAAGGCAACTTATCGGTATACTCAGAAACAAATAGTCCGCTTTAGGTATCAACTATGTGCATCCAGCGTAAACCCTAGTTTAACATTGTTGACTGTAACGAACAATATACGGCTTTCGGGTGTATTTTTATATCTTTCTGCCAGTCAACATTTCTACTAACGATTGTATTCATTTAAAATTTGCAGTCTCGAATTCGTCACCCTGAACTCAGCGTCTCCATTGTTCTCTGTCTAATTTGTGATGACTGTGGTTTCTAAGGAATTTTAAGGAGCTTCTGATCTCCAAAGCCAGCCATATCATTTGAAAACAGAAAGTTTTGACCTTTAGTGTGGTGGTGCATCTGAGCGCATATCAACACGGAGTCAGTGGCATTTGAAGCATTCTTTCATTAGCGGGATAGGAATTGAAAAATCTAAGTGTTGCGTGCAGTATTTGCCAGTATAAGTACCTTCCAGCTTTTCGGTTGACTAGACCTAATGCGCTTATATCGGTACACAAATCACACTTTATTCATATGCATTTACTGCTTGATGGAGACTTCTTTATTTAAAAATGTTTGCCAGCATCTGGGGGTATATTTTTGAAGTGTTCCTTAGCATCTTAGTTTCCGCAAACATATACCTAATGAAGACAGGGGCATCTCTCATGCATGCCTACGGATCCCGAGAAATATCAGATAATTCAGTTTGAAATGGTAGCACATACGATTTTAGCAAGCCTGCGTCCGAACAAATGCCGACTGTATGGTTTAGGGTTAACGTACTGTTTCTGATCTTTTTAATACTAGGCTGAAATTATATTGTTTGACCACCTGCTTTATTAGATTATTTTGTTCCGCCACTCGTGCATACTGCTTTTGGCAAGAAACGTGTTGGGAAAAGAAGACGGCAGGTCTTAAACACCGTCTGCGACGACTAACGGCCTCACTTAGTGCTAATAAGCCGCCAAAACATGCGGCAACATCAAGATTGCACTGAAAGGACAACAAGAAAAATCATAAATTATTCCCTGCCGCAGTCGGGCAAAAGAACTGCTACAAAATAATCCTGTCAAAAAATCAAAGATATGCAACAAGGCATCTCTAGCCAGTGAACAGAGTACGATCAGAGACTGTTATTTCGGCTGCAGAACAACGGCTGCACTTACATGCCTCTAATACCCGTATGGTAGCTAAGAAATCTTCAACCATAATATTTTGAGGCATCTATATTAACCTTATTCAACCTTTCTCAAATGATTTTTTTAACTAGTTGGACATTTAAAGGCATACGACTTTCCTTTTCTCGATAAAACTGAACTGAACGCTTACCTAGTGAGGATTCAAAATTGTTCTTGCGACATAAAAATTGCGCGATTATGCACTTTCAGCCAAATCAGATGGAGAATGCATTGATGCCAGAGCTAAAACTTCATTTTGCGATGCCATCGAAGGAAAGCTATCGATATTAATGGGGCACGTTTGGGTGAAAAATGACCTGCCGAGCATGTGGCACTTTAAATCTGACCAGATCTGAAATTTTGACCGTTCTCTGTGTGGAAAAATGGTAAAGTAAGATTGATGCAGATGGGCATGTCCAGAATTTAATCAAGAAAAATTGTGCACAAAACAGAGGATTACGTTTGCGTCAACCTGCATTGCCTGAAACAAAATTGGCGTTATGTTGGGACAGTTTTGATAAGAAAGATGGGACGTTAGTTTTTCCTTCGATGATCTTGACAAAATTATTTTATCGTAAGACCTTCTACAAAGGCAGTTAGCCTTCGGTAGGCAACCGTTTAAATTGTAATATCATGTTCTTTAGGATCAGACCCTGCTAACCCAAGTAAAAAAAAAAACAATTCAATCGTTCACTCTGACCCAACTGTGAAAAACTCGATGCCTCGGTGGGATCCGAACTCATGACAGCAAGGGGAGGCTTTAATACAGCCAATGCTCTAACCATCTGACTTACGAGGCTCCATCGGAAGACGCGAGTTTAATCATATTTGGGTCACGTTTACCCGTCCAACCTACTACAACGTCTGGAATCCACCAAGTCTGATACAGTAAGCTGGCTGCCCAGGCAGGATTTCCTAAGTAATACCTTTACACTCCACCAGATGACTACCAGGCTCACGTAATTCAGAGGTGTTTTGGCAGATTATTTTAAATCTGTCAAAACACCTCTGATTCCAATCCTTGTTACTTTGTACCGTATGAACAACAGCACCAGATATGTAAAAAAGGACCGCTTTGCCATGCAATTTCCGCTTACGGCAACAATGGCGAAGAGATTGGCTGCGCAGAGCGCCCCTCGTCGGAAGTGAGCACCTAACTGTTTGCACGTTAGCCAAGGATTAAAGTTCAAAAACTTGAAAAAGCCGCAGATTTGGAACGGAAGAAGTTCTGAAGTCAGGGTTGACGTTAGACAAAGAATGCCGATAGGCCAGTATTCTCACCTGTTCCAAAAAGCTGTTGTTACCTGTCCACCGCAAATACACATTTGAAGTGAAAAAGTAACAGATCTCACACAGTTTCAATTCTCCACCAAGCAGATGCGTTGTTGTTTTTTTCTAACTATTTAACTGCATTTTACATGGAATTGGGGCTCATTATAACATTCACACGACAAAATTTCAAGCCATTATACGTTTTTACATTCTGTACAGTCGAAATGTTAGCATCAGTGGTGTATCGTGGAAGGACCCGAAGACAATGCTTTCAGTGTGGAATTCTCATTACGAAAGGGTTTATGAGAACTGCGCACGCGCTGGACCAGATCGTTGTATGGCAGTTCGTTATGAGCAATTGGTTTTACGACCGCGTGAATCAATGAAGAAGGTTCTCGGTAAGCAAAGGCTGACTATATTTGCACCTGTATTCTAAAGGCCCCGATGGCAAAAAACGTTACCGTGCGCGACTGATCTCATAAAATGTTGGCTCAAATTATGAAATGTGTTTTGGAATTAGGAAGGATCAATAAGGAGGCGTTGCAAAATTAATCACTTTATGGCATAATCTCATAGTATTGCGGACTCGCCAGGATGACGGCTTTTGAACGCAATTCTTTTCGACCTCCTGCAGAAACGACGCTCGGTAGACAATGGCTATTTAAGAAGCATGCATTTTTCGCATTGGTTTTCGATGGTTTTATAGATTCAAGTATATTTTATAGAAAACATGCACAAAGATATGCTTTCTTCTACCCGTTTTGTAGAAAATCACATTACATCAAATTACATTTTATGCCCTAACGAAGGTCAAATTTTTTCTTCATATAAGTTTCTAATTATGAGATTTTTAAGACCGTGAGATGTCCATATATACAGCGTCGTAATGGACCATTTATTAATGCTGCCCACGAAGTGTACATTATAGCCCACATCCACCGCAAAAATTTATAACCTCTGTATAGCGACGTCCTAGTAGCATAAAGGAATTTACGATTCTCCTTACGCGGAAAGCATTTACCTTGTAGACTAGAATCAGTGAGTGCTAATGCAACGGCTGCTCTGGCTCACAATTATTCGGGAATTGGGAAACATTTTCCAAAACCTAAATAAAAACTTTCTTCCGGCATAAAAGAGGACGAAATGTGATTTTATACCAAATGAGTAAAAGAAAGCATAGCTTCGTGCATGTTTTCTATAAAACTTATTTGAATTTATAATACCACTGAAAATCAATGTGAAAAATGCATGCTACATAAGTAGTTATTTTCTACCAAGCGCCGTTTCTGCAAGAGACCGAAAAGAAGTAAATCCAAAGACCGACGTCCTGGCAAGTCCGAAATACCCTTAGATTATTACATAAAATGTTTAATCTCACAGCGCCTCCTTATTTATCCTTTTAAATCGAAAACGCACTTCATAATTTTGGCCAAAATTTCATGAGATCGGTCACGCACTGTACATCATGGTTTTCTGGCTTAAAGTTAAAAAATGCTTTGAGGCGTGGTCGGAGACTCATATAGAAATCCTCTACCAGTACACTGGTGGGAGACAACCTCTAATACGGGGATGGTTTTGGCGGTAGGATGTGGTTATATAGCCCTGCCTGACGGACACAGTACTGTTGGCGTTGGGGTTGGGATTGGAAGCTAGGGTTAGCGGCCATGATTAGGGCTAGGGATTAGGGTTGGGGTTTGGGATTAGGGTTAAGCTTTAAAGTTAGAGGTTTGAGTGAGGGTTAGGGCAACTATTTCAAAACCCCTCAAAGTACAACCGCGCATTTCCGATAGCTTTTCTTTTGAATACATCCCCATCTGTAAAAACCCCTATTACCACCGGTCTTGCATTACAGGTGGCTGGGGTTTGTTTACTCCAAGTGGGGCTGCATTACCACACCAGACTGGTATGGCTTCGTTAGAGAACGGACAGTAAGGTTTAAATTATGTAGAAAGTCAGAAACGCATAATAACTCCAAGTGCCTGATTAAATGCTCTAATAAGTTGTGAATCCAACCTTGCGTAACATAAGAAATGGCTAAGAGGCGATATCGCCATCATATAAAAGCCCTGCATTAGTGGAAATGGCCGATCACTCGATCCGGAAACGGAATAGTCAATGATTTGTTAGTAGAACTTGTCAAAGTCAGATCATTTCAGTCACTTTTATCACCATTCACATATTATAAATAGTCTTTCGTTAAAGTACTGGTGCGCGTATATAAATACAGCCTTATGAACCGCGTAATAGATAAACAAAAAGGATCTAAGCACGAAATTATATTTTTATCGGGCATTATTGTGAAATATAGATGGAGAAGATATTTTTAAGATGCTTGACTTAATTGCTTAGCCATGCATCCGTGTTCTGGCTGGGTAGTGATATTGACAAAGTGCTGTCTAAGAGAATTTCAAAAGTAAAATCAGAGCCTCGTGGGGGCTGTTCGACACGGAGAAAATGAGTTAAAAGTTACGATATATTGCTCTGATCATTCACTAGATGGTTTTAAACGCATAAAATATCTACATTTTATCGCATTAAAAATCCAAAACCTTGCACAGCAATATGGCGTTAACAGTAATTCAATATATGGAAGGGCCAAAAACGTGGGTAGACCACAACAAGTGACTTGATGATTATCACGTAGAAATTAGTTTTAAGAAAAAGGTCAGGGGTTGTCATTTTAAGTTTATCTGCAGCTACAGGGCAGCAAAAGCGTATGTACATTTCCGAGAAACCTAAATTTAATGTCATATTCCTTTGGGTGGCACAAAAAGCATTCTGTCGATAAAGATCTAGAACCATGCTCTGCGCACTGTGACAAGAGACGTTTAGGCACCAATATGCGTAGTGTTCGCCGACTTACCTAATTACCGAATAAAATATGAAATTTCAAACTTTTCCTAGGTTTTCAGTAGGTTTATTGGGTGAGTTTGGAATCAAAAGCAGACAGTAATGATTCCATGCTGCCAGTTGGAGAAATTTGTAAATATCTCAATATTCTCCCATTTTTTTCGTGTTTCAGAATTTTTGAACCTTCCTTGGGATGAAATCGTGCTGAATCACGAAAAGAAAGTTGACGATCTCGCGCTTGTAAAGTAGGCTTTTGTTTTTTTTATGATGGACGATTTTCTGAAAAAAAACATGTTTTATATATATACGACAGTGCCTTTAACTGAAGTTCAGATATTTAATAAAACAGTAGACGGAATGCAAATTTGTCCCTGTTAGGCAAACCATTAATAAATCGAATTTTCAAAAACTTAACACGTTGATGTAGATTGATCTCACATATCACATTTACTTTGTACAACGCCTGACCATAAGAAAAATGTAAATTAAATAACGAAGAAAAATTCATTTGAAGGAACTGATGACTGAGAGAATTTAGAGTTAACCTAGTGCACATGATGTCCGACATATTAGAGCCGTTTTTACTTTGGGGTCCATGATTCTGCTCAAAACGTCTTATCCTGAATGTAATATGCTAGTTAGCGTGTTCTAGTCGGGATTTTAGGCACTTGTTCGATTGCTAATGTAAGCTGCCGAGTTAAGGCAAGTTGATGGACTGTCTTATCAAATGTTAACCGGTACCCTGAAATGTGGTTCTGATTAAAAAGGACTACTTGAGCTATATTGTAATACCGATTGCAATGCGGGACGTCAGCTTTTAAATGAGTTTCCTTTAGGTCGCCTAATAAACCATGCCCAGTAAAAATTAGCTGCCTATGTTGTATGATTTTTGCCCATTGAATGTGCATACCCTTACGAATTCAAACATTTTTCATAGTAAACATGCGCAAGAATATTCCTTTACTAAGCCGTTTGACGAGACAAATGTGATGTACGACAAAGCTTGTCCTTATGTTTTGAGGACGTTTTATAATTCCCGATTAACTGCGAAACCAACCAGCCCTCACATTTGTGTTTAGGGCTTCATACCCCCTGTCCTGTACTTTTCGTGCAATGAAGATACTGTATTTTAGCGTGCCATTAAGAAGACATCATACAGGGTTCATGAAATGTCATTATAGATGTGGACTGTGAAGCATATTTTATAAGCAACACGAATAAACTTACTTAACAATGCTTCTCGATTAGACTTTTTACTGTCTTAGATGATCTTCCTGTTGGAAAAGTTTTGAAAGCAAAAATATCCTTTCTTTAAATAGCATCTTCGAAAAGGGCGTACTTTTTTGCAAAATGAACACACTGAAGAATGGGTCTATGTATGCTCTCTCTAATATAAATTAATTTATGAATGCATCAGTAGCAAAGGTTAATGAAACATAAATGGCAAATTTCCACTAGGCGTACCTTATTCAAACGACCTGAAAGAAACCAATTTAAAAGCCAGCATTTTGGCTTGACTGAAATATTTTGGGATTACGTCGCACGACAATGAATATTCAACCTCATATGAATAATAGAAAAAGGGGCGCTTACCGATCGTTTTCTCGGAACCCACTCGTTCCGTTGTGCCTCACGGGCTCCCTCTCAAGCCCAAACAGCAGCTGAACAGCGGTCCATGATATAGGCAGAATGTTATCAACAAAGACAAGGGAGACTGTAATGACCATTTCTGGCTTATAAACCTTGGGCAGATTGTCACACCCAAACCCGAAGTGCGCGTTCTAGAGAGCGCCCGTTAGACACAACGCGACGTGTGAGTTCCGTAGAAACGATCAGTGAGTGCCCTCCTCTCGCATCGCATATTGCCGATCGCAACGGACAGGACAACCAACTCGCGGCTCAGTGGTTAGAGGCGTTGGAGGTCTAATCAAGAGGTCGCGAGAATGAACCCCAGATATTCCACATTTTGGGGTTTGGTATGACTGGCTGGCGACGGCTAATAAGCCAGAAATGATCATTCCGTTAACAATTTATGAGATAGTCCACCTACTGCATTCCGACAATTTAACCCTGATAGCAGAGGAAAAAGGTGTCTGCGTATTGGTTCGACATCGTGGGAAGTACGTTTAGGAGGCGGGATTTGCAAATAAGAACTGTAGTTCATCACCGGTTGCTTGGAATTAAGGCGTGCACTAAGGTTTACGGATGCTGATATGAAAATCAATTGAGTTGCCTGCGGAAAACTTTGGAAATAAGGTGTCGCCATTGAGTCACGTTTAAACCCCCCACTCTGCTTAAAATAATCATTTTCGAATGAAAACATTCCTAAATAACAAAGTGTCAATCAGGTTAAAGTAATCTTTTGCACTCAGCCCCTACAATGTAGCGTTACAATTCCTACGTACATCGGCATCCATCGACATACGAGATTCTCCCTTGCCAGAATAATCCGTCACGTTGCGTATGGTGAACTTCAGTGCAACCGCAAACGCCGTGACCAGAAGTATTCACTGGCACCAGGCAGATTCACTTTTAGAATTTGTTGTGTGTTTAAATAAAACGTCGAAAAATACAACTCACAGCAAGGTACTTTTGTATGCCCTCCATGGAGTTTACAATGTTCACAGGAGTCATGAGTCTCCAGCTCATGGATACACCATTGTTTTGATACGCCTGCCCAGAACGTAGTATCTTAGTATTCATACTGTCCATTTTTTTCTCATTTAAGGAAGGAAAAGAGCACAAACCAGGTTGTTTATCCTATCTACATGAATGCTCTAACAGACTGGGCAAACGACCAAACAATTATGACGCCCGAATTACTGAGTGAGATGGCGGACCTGTCTATGCTCCGGAAGTTTGGCTACAGCGAGATGGGCATGCCGCCAAACTATGGTACCCCCGAACCCGAAGTATTGAAAAAGTCTGCAGAGCTTCAGAAGAGTGTTGACTTTAAGAGACTGTTTCATGAACCGGTCTAGGAGCTCCGTCTTTTGAAGAAGCAGCTAACAGTCTTTCTGCACAGTGGTCGTCTGCCACTATTTGCAATTCATGGAATACGCTTTTGTTCAGTCTGTCAATCAAATCTCCGGCGGGACACTTCGCATTCTCCTATTCCGACTAATGCTCAATTTGCGCCCACGTGCGATGCTAACCGTGTGTGTTTTTTCCCAAGACCGAGCTGTGATAGACCCTTTATTGACTTCTGATTTCGTGTTTTTTTTTTAAGCAGGACTTTCCGGTTTTTCGGGAATTTTGCACCCATGACTCTTGTAAACAGTCGCCTCGGCGTTTTTTCTACCAGGTTTGTGCAAAATAATATGAATGTAATTTTTAACATATTGTTGCATCCGCCAATGACTACTAGACCACGGAGCGGTGGTCTATAAGACCATATCCGAGAGCTCAACCGAGGATGTGGTTGGTGTGTTCTACAGCAGGTATTGTGACTTGCGCGCGAATTAGTCTATAGTGACAGTAGACTTGCTTTGCATCTACCGCACTCTTTCCTCCCTCACTCACTTGAGCCCGCTATCAGGGCGGAGTCAAGACGTCCGTCAAACGGCCTCTCTGCGCATGCCACGCGCCCCTAGTCCACGATCGAAAAACCAGCATTTAACGCAGAAAACACGGAAGGACGTTACGAATCCCATCTGATTGGGAGTGTCGCAGAGGCCACATTATGAAGGAGCCATTCACAGCCCGACTTTCCTCCTTTACAGTAGGACCTAGCTATCCCCTCGACTGACAGCCTTTCAAGCCACGACATTTAGTAAAAGTGCGTCAGATGATTTGTAGTGAAGAATATGCGATGAGGGTCGACCTTAACCTCTTCCCTTTCTCCAAGTCACCAGTCCACTCTCCAAGTCAGACAACCAACTGCCGCTGAGATTGAAGGCAGTAGTTGAAAAAGCTAGAGGTCCCGACTGTGCATGCTACACACGGCCTCAAAGCACACCGGGATTTCACACAATGTGCTTGTTTGGCTCGGATTTTGCATGTGTGCAAGTGCCATAGAGGTCAAATTGAGCCATTGATTCTGACCCTCAGTCGACCAGGCCAAGCACAACTGACGCAGGTCTGATTGCGATGTCTGAGTTAAATCGTCAGTTGGAGGCCCCCAAACCACCAGCTTTTAACGCTTGGTGATATCTCAAAATCGCCTCAAAATGTTTAATGAAAAATATGCGCTAAGAGCCGACCTCAGTCCTACTCGGCATTAACTGCTGAGAGTGCGCGCAGGAACTGACAGGCACAAGATAGCTCGTGTGTGTCTGAACAAGGTTTTCCCAAAATAGGAATGGGCTACGCAGGTATTAATATGACAGAGGGGCCAAATTGAGGAGTCGAAGATCCCGGTTTCCTCTTAGGTGGAAAATGATTGGTTCAAAAGAAGACGAAGGCACGATCACAGGGACGGTAGATTTATTGGCCTTAGCTTTCGAACTCGAACTGGAGTTCATCATCAGAGACTGCTGGAGTGCGGCAACTTGTGAACATTTATATGGTTGTGCTGTGAGTTATGCTCAAGTATTCGTGAGCTGAGACGTCGTCCTGTTTGATCTGTGTGGTGGCAAGGACAGTTATGGCACGGGATTTGATAGACTACGCCCGACTGTTTACCTGCGTCCCGGCGATCCTTCAGTTTCATGATTCTGCTACGCATGGTAGCCGCCGGATGATGAGCGATGTCTAAGCCCAACTCTGGCGAAATGCGTTCTGCGGCCTCGGAGACATTCTTTATGTACGGTAGGGAGAGCCAAATAGTTGGTGTCTCTCTTCGATTTGTCCGTCGTGGGTGCGCGCGTATGCAGCGACTGATGATAGCATTTGGGTAGCCGTTCTTTGTTAATTGGTCCCTGAGATGCGGTGGTTTTGGTATCCTTCCTTCGGGCACGCTGCAGTGCGTTTTTACCTGGTCGAAAAGCGTCCTCACACAGCCCTGTTTGTGCACCAATGTGTAGTTGCTATGATAGTCGAGGACCTGTGTTGTGTTGGTCGCCTTTCTGTACACTGTAGTGCTGAGTTTACCACCAGGTGTGCTCGTGACGAGCACGCCAAGGAAGGATAGTTTCTAGGCCTCCTCGTCTTCTCTTGTAAACTGAATGTCGGGGAGGATGCTGTTAAGTTGGTCTTGAAAACCCGATAGCCTGTCCTTTTCTATAATGACGAATGTATCATCCACGTATCGGCGCTAAAACGCAGGTTTTTAGTGGCTGAAAGCAACCTTTTCCAGCTCTCGTAGGACCAATTCCGCCACTAGGCTGGATATTGAGGAACCCATGGGTGTTCCTTTGATTTGTTTGTATGTTCTGCCACCGAAAGTGAAAAAAGTTTGATGGCAGAATGCAAAGAGCTGCGGATGATGTGGGACGAGTTTTTGTGTACTGTATCTACTGAATGGGAAGTGTATAATGATAGAGGTTCGTCTGCGATGCCTAACGGAAGATAAGCATAGGGACGCATGTGTCCGGATAGTTCCATGCAGTGACTGGACGTTCGTGAGCAGCGTGGGCAGTAGAGAATGCTGCGGCGACTGTATGTCGGGGCTTCTGAAGATGGTGCGTCGGTTTTAATATAGTGGATTCGTAAGTGTCCGACCAGGCTGAAGCCTGATGCAGAAGTTCAGCCACAATAAGGACAGGCTGGTAACAAGTACGCATTGCTGGTGGTGATCAGAATGATGGATTTAAGGGTGTCGCGAGTGATGGTAATTCAGAAGACGAAGGTGTGATCAAAGTAATAAGACATTTACTGGCCTGACGTTTCGGATTCTCACTCGAATCCATCCTCAGAGACAGTCGCAGATAAAGGTGATGGTGGCACAAGTAGTGGAGTATTCATAGCACGTGGCTGCCGTGGGACTATATGCGTACTGTAATTAACAGCTCTCGCAATTACCGCTGTGGTCGTAATGGATGCGGTGATGGCTTGCCAGTCCAAGTCCGAGTCGTTAAGGCCGTGATTTCGTCATCCGTGCTGGATGCTGGTGTGACGATGGCTTGGCAAATTGGCTCACTGTCACTGAGATAATTGCTCGCCCGCGCCCTCCCCACGTGACTGATTCCCCTGGCCAGGGCAAATCTCAGCACGGAATATGGCAAGGAGAGGTCATTTCACATGTTGATGGATTGCGGGCCTGAGAACCATGACTCGAGCAGCTCGCGGCTCACGCGGTTGTCACCCCTTGCGAGGATTTCGGCCTTTTGAAATTTGAAAATATGACCGGTCCCGTCGAATGTGCCGCCACCTGAGAGCTAGCGTGTCCTTGCCTCGTTGCTGTTGCGTGCTCGGCAGTTCGCGTACGGAGTAATCTCCCAGTTTCTCTGACGTAGTTGCTTTGTCTGCAATTGCACCATATCCGGTAAACGACTCCAAGGTTTCCTGCCGTGGCAGCGGGCCTTTTGGCCTCATGACTTGGCGTCTAATGGTTGCTCCCGGCCTGTGTGCAACCCCAACTCCAAGTGGAGTGAGAAGACGACTGACGGCTTCCGAGACGTTCTTCACGTACGGAAGTGCCCGCCAATATTTGGGGCCGGTTGGAGTTGGTCTCTGGTGTCCTTTTCATATGCACTGGTTGACAAACTTGCGCGGGTAACCACTGGCTCTCATTACCCGTCGAAGATATTGCAGTTCGGCAACCCTGTTTTCCAGTTCACTGCAGTGCGTCTCAACGTGCCGGTATAGCGCCTTTACGCAACTGCGTTTGTGACTGATCGGTCCGGAAGCAACCATTAGGCGCCAAGTCATGAGGCCAAAAGACCCGCTGCCACGGCAGGATTTCGGCCCCTTGAAATTTGAAAACATGGCCGGGTCCCGTCGAGTGTGCCGCCGCCTTCGAGTAAACGTCTCCCCGCCTCACTGCTGCTGCATACTCGGTAGTTCGCGTACGGAGTAATCTCCCTGTTTCTCCGACATAGTTGCTTTGTCCACAACTACATCAGATCCGGTAAACGACTCCAGACGTTTCCTGTTGTGGCAGTCGGTCTTTCGGCCTCATGACTTGGCGTCTAATGGTTGCTTCTGGTCTGTGTGCAATCCCAACTCCAATTGGAGTGAGAAGACGACTGACGGCTTCCGAAACGTTCTCCACGTACGGAAGAGCCCGCCAAAATTTGGGCCGGTTGGATTTAGTCTCTGGTGTCGTTTTCGTCTGCAATGGTTGACAAATTTGCGTGGTTAGCCATTGTCTCTCATTACCCGTGAGAACAGCCGCTTTGCCAGTCCGCAGGTTGGAGTGTCCTTTAGTGATACGATAGGCCGGAGAGGAGCGCCCTCTTTGTGTACTTTTGGGAGACTGTAGAATTGGGCTGAGGCGGTTACTTGTGCACTCGCCATGCGTCGGTCGATTGGCGATATTGCACCTTAGTCATCCATTGCCAACAGTGCCTCGTTAATCTCGCGTGTCAGCGTTTTTATCAAGTTGGATTCTCATGGGACATAGGACTGACGATCCTCCAACAAGCTTTTGGCTTTTTGATTGTAGTCTGTCCTGTCCAATACGACCGTCGAACACCCCTTTTCCGCAGGCACGATAACGAGGTCGTTGTCGGCCCCGAGTTCCTTAAGTGCATCGCGCTTGACCTTGGAAAGCAAGTGCCCGGCCTATGAGCCGTGAGGAGGGAGGACGCTTGGTGTTGAATGAGATTCTCCTTTCGTCTGGCGCTCCCATCTGGCTGAGGATTGATTCCACTGCTGTGATCATGTTGGCAGGTTTGGCATCGGTTGTGTTGAATGAGGCCTCGTGCCGTAATACCTACATTTTTTCCTCCGTCAGCTCCCTTGCCGACAAGTTGTGCAGCAGTTTGTCGCTCTCGGCTGACACTGGAGAAGGCAGCTTACGAAATTTCCTCTCGAGCGCTGCTTCGCCTGTGGCTTTATGTTCGCGGGTTCGTTCGGCCAGCCGCTGCTGAAGCAGTTTTGTGCCGTCCTCGCCCATGAACTAGCAGCAAATTTTGTAAGCTGCCTACTCCAACGTCAT